ATGGGATTTGCAAAATCTGTTTCATAAGTTTCTCCCAAAACATGTAACTTTTTCTGTTATATTTTAAAGGTGCACCCAATTAAGAAGTTGTTCTTTTACATATGTCTCACTCTGGAGCGACTTGGCACAAAGGGCCTGTGTGGATGGCAGCTGACCAGCAGATGTGGTAAGGCTATTACTGGCCTGCAGATGTTGTCTGCAGCACACTGAAGACAATATTCTGCAGTCTGTCATGTTTGTTCTCTGCCATCTTTCTTCAACCCATGAAGAGGCAACTAGCCATCCCAGAATGCCAGCCTAGTGTCCCCTTTATATCTATAAATAATGACTAACTTACTGACTGGCTAACTACATGTAACTGACGGACTGTTGCTAGTGACTTAGTTCGGTTGCACACGAAGGTTTAGCATGCAATCCATGCGAAAACTTCTGCTTGCGGAAATTTTGTCGCAGGTCGGGACCTCCACCAAAATATCTCAATGTCTGAGAGAAATTCACAAGGAAAGCTGGTCACTCTCAAGCATTGGTTTCCCTTCACACGATGACCGGTTTGTAATATTTCTCAATCATTGGGAGAATCTCTCAATCATTGCGAGTTTTTTTTTGGACGGGATGTAGGCTGGTGAAAAGAACCGGGCAGTGCTATCATATAGGATGACCCAATAATGCAAATGAATGGGATAAATCCAGCCCGCCGTGTAGATCAGATGCATGAAAAGACTTTTCAGTGAATAGCTATTCTGAATCAATTGAATCAGACGATGTGCATACCGACTTAGACTGTGACCAGCTTAGGCTTGCCTAGTGTTGTTTGTAAATTGTTTGTTGAGTAAATGAATCACAGTCTGTAAACACTGTGGATGTGCTATAAATCTGCAGCATTAGAAAACAATGAGGAAACTGAGCGTAACGAGTACAATGTATATGAAACCAAGTAATGCAACAACTAGGCTACAACTTACAAGATGGTTTTCATTCCAACGACATCTCCACTGTTCCTTGCTCTACGGGTACATGCTTCAACCCCCTCTAACCCACTGGTCAAACCACCCCACCCCCCTTCCCCTTTCACCCACTGGTCAGCCTACATCAGCAGACCTCTTGTGTACAACAATAAACACACTCATCCCTGGAGCACCCTGTCCTGACATCATCCTGAGAGCCACAGGCTCTGGTCTGTGTAAACATCCAAACACAGTGGTATCACAGTGACGACAGGGGGTTTGGCCAAAATGGCAAGAGGCCACTCTGGCCAGGGCAGCTTGCACAAATATACAACACAGGAAGAGAAGTGAACTTTATGTAATATCTGTCACCAAACTTTCAAAATATTTATCAAATCATCGATATTGCTTCTGGCAAATTACGTTCTACTTAATAGTAAGTACATGTACTTTGTACAAGCAGGTACACATGTACACCCTATAGAGAACCTGACTGAGAACCTGACCACTATGCTATGGCTCAGGTGATTGAGAAACACTGCTGAAACAAATGAAGCCAGGCTTCGGATTTGTATTCATATTTCTTTGAAAGTACATAATACTTTGACTTTTTCAATGAATGCCTCACATAATATCGGTTTTCAACTTCAAGGAAAAACTAGTCCATGTGAATTCTGCTTCGCTTGAAAAAAAACCCACACAAAATCACAACTCTGTACATTCCACTACTTATCTCATGAACTTGGGGTTAATTTCCAACAAAGAAAGAACAGAAGACGCAACACGGCACGCATGGCACACACGCTTGCACACTCAGAGCGCCTCAAACCTCTTGACTAACAGTTCAATTTACCTCCCGCAGTGCAGGAAGTTGGCTACTGGGACCATGGACCCGGCATGGGGAAGATGGAGTACTATCAGGCCAGTCCTGACTCAGCAAATGGTAGTAGAGATCCCCCTACTACACTGTACACACACTTGTTTGGTTGGTCACAAAGCCCAGTTCTAAATGCTCACTGAAAATTCTACAAAAAAAGCTGAGGGGAAACAGATTTTTAAAGATATGGGTGTACAATTTTAACATGTTGCATACAAAAATTTGCTTTTCTCCCCCAAAATGGACTTTTGGACTGGTTTTAACCTCCTACATTTGGAATGAGTGCTACTATAACTCGAAGAGTGAAGGATCCAGATCAAACCAGTGTAATTGTAGACCCAGACTTATAACATTTCCCCCAGCTTGCCTGTAAATTATTTAATTGCCAGTGAGCAATATAAGACAGGGTTTCCCAAGCTAGGGTCAAATGGCTGTTAGTTGTTATTTTCTGGACACAAACCCTGCAAAGACTAAGGAGTTGCTTGCTACCACCCTACCACTTCACACACTGCCTTCAAAACTAACATAGAGCCATTTACTGCTTCCTCACAGGCCAAGTCACCAAGATATGACACACAACATCTAAGTTTCTAAAAGGGATTTGGGTCCTTTGTGCGCTCCGGACAATGATTTCTGGGCTGCTACCAAGAACTTGAATACACCCTTCTAATGCACAGGCCCATTTTATGACCAACAGGTTCTAAGCCTGTTTAACAACCTCCGAGACACTCAAGCATGTATGTTCCTTTTGTGAATAGCTATTATGACACAAGGAAAGCTTGAGTCAATGGGCCACACATCTGAAGAACCAACATCTTCCCCGACTGCTGACTTCACTATACTGCTCTAACCTAGAGCAAGGAACCTCACACCATACCCAACCCATACATCTGTATACATGGATTGGTACTCTACGTCGAAAGCACTGCAGAATACTAACTGAGATCTGAGCCAAATGTGATGCGCTCACTCGGCAGTAAATACCGCTTAGCAAATTAATGTACAATTCAAAATGAGAACCATGCAGTAACAACATGTACCTCCATGGCTTCTTGGCTGGCAACTGTTCTACTAAAAGCTATATTTTCTGTACTCGTTTGGCAAAAGTTAACCAATTCCGCAAGATTATTTTTAAAACCAATTCCTTGTCTTTATACGAATACTCTTGATAATATTGATTTACATCACCCCGACGCAAAAAAAATAATATCCATCTTATGAATAGCAAAAGTTTGGTACACTGACAAATAATACAGTGAAAATCAGTCAGGTTTATTTTTCTGAACGAAACTAACATTTGAATCCACACAACTGTCAAGGGATCAAGCACTCAACTCCATCAAATCCTCCTTAGAAAATCCTGACTCCTCAATTTTTGACACAGCTTATTCAAATTAATCTACTGTACACTGAGCTGAGTTGTTTCACATGGACGAATTATATGGAGCTCAGGAATCAGGAGTGGGCAAATCAATGGTTAATGGAAAAACATTTCTGAGAAAGAAAAAACAGCTTCAAACATGAGGCAGCTTCATGAAATCAGTGAGCTCTCTGGCTTTTCAACAGACAATAACAGGGCAAACCTTGATCCCCTAAGAGGATTGGGAATGGCTTAAAGAATTAGGGTAATCCCTCAATAATCCCTCAATACTTAACTTTTTGGAACAAATCTCCTGTTTAATCAACCAGACTACGCATCAGTAACCTTCCAACCAGTGTGTCGGATAACAATGTTGAGAAGATGGTTGTTACAATGATTGGTATCACACATCTAAAGCCCGGCGCACACCTTTCCGATATAATTAGTTCACCGAGCGTCCTACAGAAGCATGTGCCGAAAATTCAGAACATTCTGACTTTAAAGGGAATATACATCATTTGCTTTTGCTGTAATTTTCAGAAATGGATGGAATTGGGGGGTTGGAAATATATAGTAACACTGACTTTTTTGAGGTTTTGGGTTCGAAAATGCTATAAAAACCAAGAAAAACAATCATTTTCCTGTAGCCTGGTTCCCTGACTCCATTTAAGAAGAAACAGAGCAGTTTACATATATTGGAGAATTGTAAGGTCAGGGATCCAGTCTAGCTGGCTTGTACCCGTTCAAAGGTGTGTAATCGATTGCAAACAAGTGCGATGGCCAATGGGGGCCAGTATTTGAAAAAAAAGCCAGTTTTTTCCAACGCTGATCGGCCGATCAGCGTTGGAAATTGATACAAAAATACCACTTTTCTTGAAAATGACAGTATACCAGGTGCCATGATTTTACAGGATGCTTTACACTGTCATTCATTAACAGTCCAGCAAGGTATTTCAAAATGATTTGGTAGTTTTATTTTTTGATGTTTGCAAATGTTGTAATTTCCCTTTAAATCGGGCGACCGGATGAAATCAAACATGTTTGATTTTTTCACAGCCGCTTTCACCGGATCCAATGTCACCGAATCCAATGTCACCGGAAAGGTGTGCGAGCAGCACTCAGATTTCACTGGACGCGATATTTATGTTAACTATTACTAATCAGATTCACGAAGTAAGTCACATGAATTGAAATTGATGGCTGACATTTTGTCATCATGTGACTGGTCATCATGTGACTGATTCATCATGTGACCGATTATAAAAACGGAATCGGGCATGTAACGTTGCGGTCTAACCGCAATGGTGAAAAAATGGTACCGGTGATGGGGTGAACCAGTGAACCGGTAAAATCGGAAAGGTGTGCACCGGGCTTAACCAGTTCACGTTGGATGATGCATGCAAAGGTTTTGCGGTATTCGGAATGGATGATGGATAAACACGCAATGAGCGAGGCCCGAAACATCAGGCTGTGTTACCCGCAGATGACGGCCTATGAACCCATCTGGCATCGAGGTTCGTGAAAACAATCCCACGCCTAGCCTGGGTCCAGTCAATGTCAAAATATTCCTGGCACGAACTGGTTAAGATATGCAAGCAGCTATTTGGAAGCAGTCCTAGACCGATTAATTTGGGGCAAGGTAAACTATCCAGAAATACAGACATCTCGGAACATTTTACAAACCTATTTTCTTGACAACTTTATGAAATAAGTGTTTTAAAGATGGCTAAAAAGGCCACATCTTGGAGCTCTAATAACTGCAGTTATTTATTTGTCAGGATAGGTTTACCCGTCGAAAGCAATTTATGTAAAAACTGAATCACTTACCAGTCAATCCACAGCCTGAATTCTTGTTCAAATCCTGAAGAGCTGTGGTTGGATACACCACGTGAGGTCGCGTGCTTCCCTCCTCTGAAGAAGTGGAATCTTCCAGAGGCTCAACAAAATATTGCGTCCCTTCAGGGGTTTGGAATAGTCCATGCTGTAAGGGGGTGAAAGTAAACATTTAATTTATGTACTTTATTTATTATTACTTTTTGAAAAGTAAAATAAAAATGCTGTTTGGAATAGTCCATGCTGTAAGGGGGTGAAAGTAAGCAATTAAGTTTTACTTTTTTATTATTATTTTTTTGAAAATTAAAAAAACTTTGTTTTTTTAATCAAAACTGGTTTTTGTTTTTATATGTTATTTTAGCCTTGGTGCATTATAAATTCATTATTGGCAAATTATTGCCCTATTTTCTGCACTTAAACTTCCAGTTTTCAATATCCAGACTTGATTGATAACCCTTTTTCAAGAAAACTTTTCAACAAAACGCAACTACAGGTAACAGACTTTCAACCGAGGTAACAGGCTTTCAAAACCAAACAAGTAACTCCAGACTGAAAGAGGTCCTCTATTGCATTATCTCTGTTTTTCCCTATCCCACCTACCCTGAACTTGTGTTAACCACAGCATATAAAAGAAGTGACCATGCTAGATTTCTAAGGCCATAAGTAACACCACTCTTTCAACAAAATGAGGGGTTACAGGTTTATTATACCCTGAGTTTTCAAATTTCCGGTGGAATTTTGCTTACTTTTTCAACTACGTCTGGCTAATATCTAAACCTTCAAAGGCCAGCACTGTTAAGAAAACGTGCTTGATAATGGTAAACTCGGCAGGGACATAATGGTAAACTTTACCAATACCATATAATTCTTCCAGCACATTGACCTGAAGGAGGTTGGTAAATATTTACAATTACAAGCGGTGTTTATATATAAAGGGTTCTTGCCACTTCCCAGGGTGTATATAGGTCATAATGCTGCTGTATAAAACTTCATATCAAGGCAAATATAAAGGACTTGGGGCGGTGGTAATCTGTGTGTGACCAGTGCATTAGCATGGGCACTCTAAAAAGAACACATGCCTATCATAAGTTGTCTACCGCCAGTTGTTGCTGAACTTACGTGAACATTTGTTCCGAGTTTTATTAGTGAATGAGTCAGAGATTGAGTTTGTGACGATGCATTTTTCTGGTTGCAAGCATAGATTGACTTCAAATGAAACATTTGAAGTTTTAATCTGCATCACCATTGTTTACTTATCCACATTTTGTACCAGTTTTGAGAAAATTTACTATTTTAGATATACAACCAGAATAGTTTCTATATGGCTGCAAACAAATTGGAGATCAAATGAAAAGGTCAAGAAAGGACAGAAATACTTTATTTGAGAACAGTGACATGTGGTTACCACTTGTTTTCATAGGAAAAAGTTTAAGGAAATTTTTGTGTGTGCTGATTATGCTGCCTGGTTTCCATCGTCAAAATTAACCAGCTTATTTTGACCATAAAAACTGCTGTTAAACCAAAGTTACTCAGAATATTTATATTTTCTATTACACATGAAATCAGCAAGCGCTGCTTAAAACTGCACTTGTTAAAAAGTGTTTCGTAGCATGCATTATTCATAATCAAGTATCTATGATACGGGTGCATGTACTTTGATAGCGCGGCAAAATGATAACATATGGTAACCATTTGTGTGCAAAATTCACAGTAATTAACGCTGCTTAGGAAGAAATTGTAATTTGCAACAAGCGAGATTGCTATTCATATAAAACACTGTGGAGGTCTGCGGGGAGCAAATTCAAGGTTAAACCACAGTGGCAACGCAGAGGGTGCATATGAGAGACCAACCTTTCTTGAACAATAAATCTGCAATATTTACAGATGGGAGACCCCCGCCCCCTTTCTCATTCAACTTTCCCTAGCCAATTCAAATTCCCACTCGCCCTTGAACACAAAAAATCAGGTGGGTTTTTGGGTGACATTTCACTCATTTTTGTTCACTCTGGAACACATCACTTGACAATATTTCTTGATCCAAGCATGCCATTCCTCTTTTTATAACAAAAAAAAATTGCATTTCTATAAAATTTGCCTTTCAAATTTGCCTTTCAAAAGAAATTTGCCTCTCTATAAAATTCCTCAGACTCAGTGGTTTATGTGAATATTGTGTGAAGGTGGCAGAAATGAACTTTAACTCAAGGGCCAAGTCACCTATACTGGACTGGCACCTACAGTTATATGACAAGTGTTGTTAGTTCTTTTCAGTGTGCTCACCGGGGATGTAAATTCAGTGCCAAAATAGCCCAGGGGCTTGGAAGTTCCGCAAGGTCATGCCAAGTTCACCGACAATACTTGTAAAATACACCGCTAAGTCCTGTTTACTTCGCAAATGCCTTGGAAGTGTGAGGATTAATCTTTGTGAAATGTCTGTTATCAGGCATTTCTGCACAGGAAGGTTTTTTTTTTTTTACATTGCGAGACAAATACATACATGTAGGCCTACTTGCATATCTTCAGTTGAAACATCTAAAGAGAATGTTAGGTTGAGTGGAAAGTTCTACAAAATATGTGCAACAATTATGAAAATCACTTTTAATATTGGATCATAAGTTTGGTTGGACTTATTCTGGTAATGTGCAGAAGATATATACATTTGTACATGTAAGTTCTTGCTTTGCTGCCGCATACATGTGTACGCAAGGGCAGATCCAGAACCCAATTTTTTTTCAGGGGAGGTGGGGAAAGAGGGCTGGCTCAAGTACATATTTTTCAAAAAGGGGAAGTGGATTAAGTAATAGTATCGTGCACTATTTCCACATTGTAATATTAAAACTAAAAGGTATGTGTAGCTGATGGCTTGAGCGGGAGATACACAACATTTTAAATTTCCTGAAAATTAAAACAAAAATAAAATCAGTCAGTGTAGTTTTTTTGGGGGGGGGGGGGGCAATGGCCCCCATTGCCACCCCCCCCCCCCCCCCCCCCCGGATCCACCAATTTGTGTATGTCAAATCTTTTGCTGTCCAAATTGTGCATAGCACCCAGTAAAGTATCAATCAATGCGACCCTGCAGGATACTGTCTCACAATATGTGTACATGTACTGGTCAATATTCCTTCAATTACTCATGGCAAGCATAACACTGTGTAACCTTTTGGCTTATCACCTCAGTCGAGTCTTAAGGTTGACGTGATTCATGTCTTGAGGAAGTTGAATAAGTCCGGCAGATGTATCAAACTATCACTATTTAGGCTCAGAGGAAGTTTCGTCTTCGAGGAGGGAGAATATGTCTGCAACCACAGGGTTAAGGAAATGGCTACTATGCATAATAGCCCACTGCTTTCACTGAGGCACGGGTACACGTATGACAAAGCACTAACACATGTATTTGTTTTCGACAAATGCTGCATAAATTTACAGTAATCTGATCTTATTCAGAATTTGTCAAAGAAGTTGGGGACCTGGGCCTGAGAGAAGCCAAACAAATATCAACCCTTTTGAGACAGGTCTAACTGTGTTCTACAATACTGCATGGATGCTCCAAGACTTTCAAGTGTACTGGATACTGACCTCTATTCACTCAGTATGTTTTAGCTTAAGTTAAGTCCTGTTGAAACATATTCACCTATTTTAAAATAAATGATAATAATAAATTGGGGTAGTGTATATCATTTTTCATATAACAATCTGAATGGAACTTTAACATGTTTTTATGACTCATACAATCAAAAAAGAAGAACATGTAAACCTATTCCTAATTAGTGTATATGTTTACGATTTATGCCAAGAGCCACAGACTCTACTTGCCACAAAGATAACATTAGGGCCTATCATCAAAAATTACCGTGGAACGAAGTGAAAGACAGTGAGTTACCAATGAGCTGGGCCTGTGTGTACAGCTACAGGCCTATGCTAATGCAAGCTTTAATTAAAGCCTAACCCAAGCCTACAGCAGGGCTAAAATAACTAGCATGTGCTCGTCGGAGTCAAATTTTTCTTTTATTTCACAACCCAATCGTCCTCAAAACTCTCTACTCCGCAGCGATATCTTACCATGCCATCGCACAGGCTGAAGACTGCCGACGACGCCGGCTGGCCGTTCACGACGCCCCGGTAGAAGCAGTGCAGCGGCGCGCTCGTGTCTAAATCCTCCGTGTCCTCATCATCATCGTCCCCCAAAAATTCCACCACAAACGACGGCGAAAAGAAGGAATTATCCCTCGATAGGTTCAACTGGAACTGTTGGTGAAAGGCTCCCAGGAGGAAAGTCGCCTGAGGTCCGTCGTCAAAATCGTCTTCCTCGGAGTCCAACGGAATCGAGGCGCTCCGTTTCTGGAAATGTCGAGTCGCCCCGTCGGACGGCAACGGTAGCCCAGTGTGGCCGTCCAAACGAACCGGTGTCACGATTTCATACTCGGATAATTCCGCCAAACGCTCCGACCCTGGAAATAATAAAAACCACGATTCTTGATGACACTGACAGATATATTTACATAACTTCGTCACCGTCGTAACGGTTGAAAATGTTGAACAAAACCTTATTCCGCAAACTACGCACCAACCACACGATGTCATTTTACGACCCCCACCATATTAATGCACCGTCACGTGCCCAACTTTGTTCGCAAAAAAAATGGCGGGAAAACCTAAACTTGTTTAAACAAATAACAGTTCAAAGAAACTGATGATATAATATAGAACCAACTGCGCTGCAGCAAGGTCTCCGTGAGTTTATAATAATCGTCTTCGTGTTTCAAGCGGCTACACGTTTGATTATATTCCCGCACATGAACTAGACATGAACTTTGTGTTCACACATAGGTCATGCACATACATTGTAGTTACATTGCCCCAACAATCGCAGAAGACACGTGGGTGTACACGGACAATGTACACGCGCTTAGGTCTTCCGTTTTACATCCATACTAAATTACAGTCAGGGTAAACAAGAAAACAATGCAAGCATAAACAAAACATAAACATAGTGTACAACATATTGAAGCGATTCAAGGTTACAATTGCTCTTCTGAATCGTACCCCGCCGAGCAACAACACACAGTGAAAGATTTTTAAAAAGATAAAACTGTACAACCACAGATCGGAAGTACTCAACTCCCACCAACAAAATCTCGATTACGTTATGTAACGCTTGGTGTACATGTACATGTATGCTTGATCGTCAATGTATGATATACAGCCGTACAGGTGTATCTTACAACAGGTGTTTCGGTTGTGTATGTGTGTGGCCAAAAATCTCAACATCAAAATGCAACTGTTGCAATGATTTTCATGGTAGAATCATGGAGCTATAAAAAAAAAATTAAAAATGAACTATAGTAAAATTGAACTATAGTACATCTCATTTTTGGTGTTATTGTTAACACTTAAAATTAACACAACAAATTTTAACCAGCAGACATGATAACAAATGGGCAAAATCACTAAACAGTTAATTGGCTAAAAAAAAAGTTAACAAGACGACTTCGTTAATTTTAGACCAAGAATTCATAAAATTATTAAATAATTCAAATAAACTCAAAATTACATTAAAGATCATGATGTAATAAAAACTAATAAAACTTTTAATATTATATAAGTTTTTCAACCATGTAAATTGTATGGTCGTCATACTCAAAGTCAACATGGCATGCATGGTCGACATGTTATCAAACTTTAATTATTAATTTCTACGTTGGATGAGGATTAAAATTTCTAAGATAAAGGGACAAGGTTTACATTTTAATGCTAACAAAAATATTGTATAATCTACTTACCGTGAGTCGTCCAATGGACGGATTTAAAGTTGAAACCCTGCACCAAACGAACCGACACCAAATAAACCAAAACAAATGCAGCGAATAGAGTGGTATTTACATTGAAGGTACACATGGCTGAAGAATCATTGAAGTTTCTAAATAAAAACCAACATGAGAAATTCACTACATCGGCGACATGAGGTGGGTGGGTAGAAAAACAGGGGCCATATACAATCCAGGGTGAAGGGAGAAGTTATTCCTATCCAGAGTCGACTCGATCAGCTGGGTGGATGGGCCGAGAGCCAAACTTGGAAATTCCTGGGCACCGTTCCAAGTCGCCCGTTACCGATTGACTGAGTGCCTGACCGACGAATGACCGGCAATTCTGCTGGCTCGTCACCGGTGTACACTAGCAGTATACTCAGCGATATAATGTGTGTGAGCCTAGCTGAGCAGCATACACAAAACATACACCCTTCCAAATTCCGGTGCTGCATACGGTGACACACTACTGATCGCTGCCCCAGGCACATAAAAGAGTTGCACTAGACAGTGTATGGGAGATTTACACACACTGATTGTGTATCACACATCGTGCATTCAGCCAATGAGAGTACCGGAATACCGCGGTTAAAATGTATACACAAACTGTTACATCGAGTTTTACGAGTGCTAAACCCCCTGCTAAGGTCACCAAAGTATTCTTTCCGGTTTGCTTTTATTAGAGGGATACCACGGTGTATTGTCACTGTGTGAATTTGGTTGAAACTCTTTGGCCCCCTACCTAGGCTGCACTCAGTCCTTTTGTCTAGTTTTGTTGAAAACTAGGGAAAAAATTACAGATTGATATTTCCTGAACTATTTGTACGCCTATAATTATTATAAGACCCTGCTGTATACTTTGAAAGCCATCAGCTTATACGACAAAGAGTAAAATGTTCAAAATCAGCCTCAATTGATTGTAATCGAAGCATTTTAATTAATACTAGCACAATCCATAGAGCAAGGAACAGTAACATTTTTTTTAAAAATAATCAGCATATTTTCTTACCGAGGAATAAATACTTACAAAAGAATGAGTACAAAAAAAAAACGTTTTACTTTTACTGAGATACTATTACTACGTCCATGGCAACTTTAAAACCAACTGGAACACAATGTAATGTAGGGTTTTAATTAATTATACAATTCAAGTCACTTTTATTAAAACGACGTTTCACTGTCGAGATGTCAATCAGCAGCAATCGGCAGTCAACGAATTGACTCTATGTAATTGCCATAGTTCGCCGTCGTATATGTTCTTTTGGTTACACCTCTATGTTCCGACACTATGTTCCGACACCCCTATTTTCCGACTACACATATTTCTATTCCTTATTAACCCTAACCCTAGCCCTAACCCTAATATAAATAATCCTAATCGCGGGGAGTACTGAACACAATCTTATGTGCGGGTTATCGGAACATAGGGGTGTCGGAACATAGCCTGGGTGTCGAAACATAGAGCAACCATTCTTTTGGCATTTGGATTTTGGACATTAATGTCAGAATTTACATATTGACTGTAACGGAGCAATAAGTTTAACAAGATATTTCGGCACTTATGATTGTACAATGACATTCCCTATAGGAGGCAATATGAGTCAAAAGTAGGGTCCTTGAATAAAACACGAATCACATGTAAAACGAAAACAAAATGTATGTACCCTTAGAATTAATGAGAACCACTGTTCCTTGATGTTGACAAATGAGATCGATTGGGACAGACATTTGTTTTTCTCTTATTGAAAACCTAAAACCTGGGCAAGACGTTTAAAAAAAAAGGTGACAGGTATAATCATTGGTCACCCCCGCAGGACACGACACGCACATTGTATTTGAGCAACTTGGCATCCTTACAAATTCGATCTTAGTAAATGATCTTGGCCGCACGTACGTACCATTGAGGAAGGAACGTTTGTGTTCCTTCACTCCATGGCCGCACTGACGTGACGCAAGAGATCGAAAGGGCAAGGCCGCGCCCGAAGATTTTGACAGCCCCAGAAGACGACCGTTGAAGTTCACATCACCCACGTACCCAATACCTCGGCCATCCAGGGACTCATCACAATTTGCACTAAGCTTGGTGTCAACAGGTGGCGCTATACATATTACTCACGAACTTTCGATTCCAGAGTCACAAAATGCATTTGAGGTTTTCTTCCGACGATTGGCTTGGGGGCTGGGGGGGGGGGGGGGGGGGGGGGAGAAAGACGTACATATCCGGTCGCTATTAAGTCAATTCACAAGTTTGTTCACAAGTAACAAGGGATCAGTAATAATTATAGAGTACCTTTGTAACATATACCAATTTTATATGGCTTGTGACTTGACTTGGGATTGAATATAAATAACTTGTGATGAATTCGACAACATTAACACTGCATTGACTGCAATCGTACATACTGGTTGCTTCGAAATTTGAAAACAAAAACACCAGTAACATAGTATTTCATATGATCACATGTCCGTGCCTTCTGTGTGTACATTTTGTAATCGCAACATTTTCGAAAATAATCATTGCGCAGATTGAAACGGCACACGATAGGTAACATGTAATATACCCAGATGGTAAATTTTCCAAAAAAAAATTACGACAATTGTGTGTGGGGAAGAAAAACAATGCATACATGATTTGTTTTATTTTGCGTTATGTTTCTTCCTCTTTTGTGCGCACCATGATGCCCCGCCCCCCATGCACCTTTAACACATCGTCCGACTAGTTGGCCAGTTTAATTTCCGACTTCCTTTTGATCGCTGGTACTCTGTGTGGAGTCACTGTAGCTAGCTACGAATTTGGCTCGACTTGTAGATAATACCAGCGAAAAATAGTTTACTGTTGTCATTCGAATGCTGCACGATGAGGCATCGGTGATTTTCAGGTACCTTTGAGCTTGCGGTAAGAAATTAACTGTGTTTTAGCTCTTTTTCAAAAGTAATTTTATTGCTGAAGCTCAGAGATTGTGTGCATATGTTATTTAAATTTAACCGGTAGGTTATAGATAGATTTGCAGTAATTTGGGTGAGTAATTCTGACTTGGAAAGAATGAACCCGGACGCGCCGCGCCGCCACTTCAATCGTACATTCGTAGGCCTACCCGTGTTGTCAGTGGTTGTGTACAATGTCTATGACGAGTCTAGACCCGTGAACGTGGCGTTCGTTCACGGGTCTATGGCGAGTCAAGAACATTTTCTAAGTATTTCCATGGAGGAATAAAACGGTATTTCCTAACAAAATTGGAAATGGTTCTCAGTCCCAGATACATGTCTTTTTGGAAAGATTCCCATATCTGGCCATCGCTTTTCACCCTGTGCACAAACCCCATGGGACTAGCTGGAGTTACCCAGCCCTGAGTTTTATCATTGGGTTGTCTATTAGGGCTGGAGCTAGTTTTTCTCGTAACTTGTAGTATAGGCAAAAATTTTTGGAAAATGTTCAATTTTGTCCCCGTTACACACTAATTGCAACTGCAACTCACCCCAAACTTGCCTGGAATAACCATTACACAGGTCCTTGAAGTAAAAAACGATCCACGATGAAGATTCAGCCTACAATTGCAGTGAAAACAGGAGGAATAACGGCTAACCTGACAACCTTGCTGGCATGGCCAGGACCGCAATTGGTTTGTGCACAAAAAAAAATTGTGTACAATGAATGGCGGTCGATTACCATGCACGTACAGCTCGCTGGTACTCGGCGTTTTTGCGGTCGGTGCATGACGTGACACGGAAGCGTAATACCCGATGACTGTTTCATGCATTAAGCCTAACTCCCTAGGCCTTTTTGCTAGGATGTAGCCTCAATCCTGCAAAATCCTCCAATTGGCCTCATGGAAAAATAGCATATAGCCTCAATCCTGCAAATTCCACCGTTGTTTCTTGAATATGGTCCATGGAGGGGTGACCACTGCCTGAATCCTGCAAAATCCTCCGGCTATGACTGTCAATAGGCTGAGGCAGAGGCAGTGACATCCTGGAGCAGTACGGAGGTTGTCAAGTATAATCAAGGACTAAATTTATGCACGGCTGAGCATAAACAACACAAGGTCCGGCCCAAGACCTTGACACAGTGCGTACTCCGAAATCAGCAACGCACTTTGGCCATGTAACCTCAATCCTGCAAATTCCTCCAATTTGCAAAAAGGATTTTGGAGGATTCAGGGCGGTTAGGGTTAATAAGAGGTTCACTTGCATCACAGTGCGGTACTGGAACGGCAACCGTCGAGTAACACTGCACTATGAATGTACGATAGCTGGCCAACTCGACTATACTACAAGTTACGAGACTACAACAAGTTACTACAAGTTACGAGAAAAACTAGCTCCAGCCCTAATAGACAACCCAATGATAAAACTCAGGGCTGGGTAACTCCAGCTACCATGGGACTGGTCTGAAAATTTCTAAGTGCTTTCTCAGACTCAGAGTCAGACTCAGTCAAAATTCAAAATTTGTCAACCCCTGCTAATTTTGACTTTTTATTTTAGGACACAGCCTATCACTTTCTGATGGCTGATAGGTCATTTAAGGGAAAAATAAGATGATATTCGAAGAAAAAAGTAGCGTCAGGTTGCAACATTCTTTCCTCTGACTTTACTTTAGTAAACATGCATGCACAAGTTAACTGACATTGTGCACCTACCAAATGTTTGATTGAGCAACAATTTTTATGTTTTTGTAGTTAATTGTCTATACATGATGTGCATTAATTGTATTCCTTAAAATCCTGTGTTTTATCCAATTTCTCATGATGACAGGGGACCGACATTTTCACCATGGCGACACCGGGAACCAGCCTCTTCCCAACCATGACATCGGTGGGACTGGAGGAGGCGGGTTTATCGCAGACCTTACCCAAGCTGGCCAATGAGGGAGCCCTTCAGAAGATGCTGGCGGATGAGCGCATGCGCTGTGAGACGCACAAGACCAACTACCAGACCTTGAAGGCGGAACACACTAAGTGAGTGAAGATAATTCAGTGTTGTAGTACTCATGCTCCAATGCATTTTTTTGGTACTCGTACTCATGGAAAAATTGCTTTGTACTCAAAAGTCTCATCCTCGTACTTGTATTCTTGACGAAGTACTCATACTCATGGCAAAGTACTCATGAGAAAGTACTAGTACTCGTACTCATGGAACAACTCTAGTGAATTACAACACTCAGTCATTTGAAAAATTCAAAATGTTGTAGGTAGACATACAAAATTTTTGGGTAACCGACATACGGTTTATTATTCTTAAAGGACATTATGTCTTCAAATGTGCCCCATTTGGGCTACAGAATGCATTTTAAATGAAATTGTGTTCATTGGAAAGAGCATTTAAAAGTAAGCTGTAAACGTCCACACAACCATCCTTTAAAGGTATAGTCCATCATTTGTAAGTTGTGCATTTTGTTCGCTTGAAGCAACAAAAGTGATCAAAATGTAAAGAAGGGTGCTGAACAATTAACCTGATGAAGTTTCAGCTCAGCTTCAGCTGTATATTCCGAGAAAAACAACATTCTAGGATCTCGATTCAAATCAAAAGTTGCTGAATCATGTTTTGAATTGGGCCTGAATTCAGCATCCGAGACACGTTCTCACTGAGCCGATTGCAGTTACGCGATGTCGCGCACCAATCCGACGAATTATAGCAACTGCGCGTGCGCGCGTGCGTCGTGTCAACCCTTGCGCACGCTTCACCGAATAAAAAAACGAACTACTAACGGAAATTTCCAACGGTGCTTCTTAAGAAGCACCGTTGGAAAGGCCTTCTTTCGTTGATTTCTTCAAAATGACAGCTTGCCAGAAAGAATAATTTCACAGAGAGTTTAGTCCCCTCACTATCTTTCAACCAAGTATGTTTTTCAACAATAATTACGCCAGTTACTTTTTGGATAGCTGCAAATGATGGACTCTGGCTTTAAAACTGGGCGTTTTTGTGTTATTTTGTGAGAACCATGCGAGAACAAATTTTGGGGGTCAAAATTTGGACTCTAAAAAAAACAAGTTGTTAAGTGCTAGTTGTGATTCCTGCCGCACAGTGTATCGCATTCTGTGGACGTGCGAGAAACAACATTTTAAAACCTTGATTGGTCAAGAATTCTCTTTTTTTTTCTCCAAAGAGTGTAAATTCACTTCATCTGACAGAAAAGAGGTACAAGACGATTCAGAGTAAAATTTGTTTAATCAAAGAGAGTGACTTTTACTGAGTTTCTACTAAATGATTAATTTTCAAAGTATTATAATGTTATCAAACTTGTTAGTGATTTTAACCTAAATTGTCTGATGCCTAGTTTTAATATTTTTGAAACTAGAAAAATTCGCTCGACTTTCTTAAAACATAAAGGGGACAGACCATGAGTCGTAGTAGAGAAAGTAATCATATTGGATTATGAGTACTGCAGCAGTTGCATGCTGTTCAGTCCAAAATTTGTGTTAAAGTTCTGATTTTGTTTCCAGAATTCAGGATGATTATCGTCGGTTGCAGCGAGACCTTGAACAGACCAAGGAGGAAAGTGCAGCCATGGAGGGCCGCTTCCAATCGCTGATGGCCCGAGCTAGTAAGGAACTAGCAGAGAAGATCACAGAATTGGAAGAAGTCAAAACGCAGGTGAGCTATGTCTTTACCTCTGCTCTGTTTCAGTGTGCATTTGCAACGAACATTTACACACACACACAGTTGAGAAAAAAACAAAAGTTCATAAAGTTGGAAAGCTGGTTCCTCTCTTTTAACTCTAACTATCAAGGCATTTATTTTTGTCGGAACCTTTGTAAATCTTCCAAAATTCTCCGTTTTGCGGAAATCCAATGCTGCTCTTTTGTAAGTCAACTTTCAAGGACTATTAAGTTCAATCTAAAGAATAAGTCGCTGGCCTCCACCTTCGTAAGTCCCCTGCCCCCCTGTCCCCCCCCCCCCCCTGTCCTCCCCCCCCCCCAAAAAAAAACCTTCCCGATCCTCCTGATGAATGTGAAGGTTCAGGGAGGGTTAGAGTTTATCCGAAAATGTGGGACCAGTAATAATGTGATAATGATTGTGTTGAATCATGAGGATATTACAAATCAACTTTTGCATATTTTTCGATAGATAAGGTCCCATTCTTGGTTAGGGTTTATATTTTATTATTTAGGTTTTGGCCATTGTGTGTTTTGCAAGTAAAAGAAGGTGTTACTTAGCTTAAGATATGGAGCTATAGGATATGAAGGAATCAAATGAGATCGCAGGGACCAAAAAGTCACTTGCCGTTTGTCATTGATTATTCTAATTGCCTAGTATCTGATACCTCTTTCAGCCTGCAAGTACATATCATATCACACGCTATGTTAACTAAAGTTGTATAATATACAAAAAATGAATGTTTGTGAGTCCAATGGTAAGAATAATTTCATGAGGTGACAGATGGAATGGAACTTTTTCATCTGTCACCGAATGAAATTATTCTTTCCATTGCACGAACGTGAAACACTCAATATTTGTTTTATATAACATCTGAATAAATCCTTGTCATCTGATTGGTTGACTTTTATTAGCCAATTTATTCAGGTTAAAAACTGTTTAAAAGTTCGACAAGTTCATCATATTTATATTAATGCAAACTGTTCAACAGGTTGAGAAACATCATATTCAATTTACCTCGATTTAAAACAGCGCCACCACCAGCAGCAGTGACACCGTGCAATGGAAGTTATATTCACCGTGCATTAGAACTTCCATTGCACTGTGCGCTGCGCGCCACGCGCGGGCCGTGCATTGGTACGAATAATTCAGTGACATGTGATCAACGATCCACCAATTAGGTGACGGGGATTTATTCAGGTGTTGTATAAGGTTAACTATTTGAATGTGTTGATGTGGCAATCACCTTTGTAGGCAATTACGCCAGAGAAGCTTGAAGTGATGAAGGTTCATATAGCAGAGAGCCTGGAGGAACCCTTCAGGGAACGCTTCAACAAAGTGGAGGAAGAGTTGGAGCACTACCGCACTGAGTACAACAAGCTAAGATATGAACACTCCTTCCTGAAGTCTGAGTATGAGCACGAGACGACCGAGCACAAACGCGTCGTTGAGGAGATGAAACTACAGTATGAGACTGAGGTATGTAATGATATGTGGTGCTCATAAAACGCTTCATACCAAAGTCTCAAAGTGCTTCATAATTATTACCCCTGTTCATCAGGCCATGGGACTAGTTTTCTTTAGCAGGTCGAGATCAGCACAGTCTGGTCTCAGCTATTCAGAGCAGGCTATATCAACTGTACATACCTTTATTTGATTAATTGATAACGTGTTTCATCAAAATCTTTTTTCCCTATGTCGGTAAAGATTGAGAATCTGCACAAGGACAAGGAAGCCATAGTTGCCAAGTTCTCCCAGGATAACAGCCACGATGGCCAGCGAGTCCGCACTCTGCAACGCGATAACGCTCAGCTCCACTTGAAAGTCAAGGGTAAGCACCATTTAATTTTGACACCTTAAATATGTAGTTGTCTTCCTTCTCAACAAATTCAATTTTTTTTTCTCCATGCAAAGTTTCAACTATTTTTTATTTATCATAACAAAAGAAACCCAACAAATAAAAAAAAATGTTTTAAAAACTAAATTTTTGCTAATGGCAACACTCAGATCGTCACAGGGAGTTGGCTGGTTACCAGTCCCTACATTACTGTTTCTTTTTTTTTTTTTTGGGTGGGGGAACCGGTCTAACCTACAAGAACTGAAGTATTTTAGGGCCTCAATTTGAACATTTTAAATAATCATTCATTCCTAAACCTGGCTGATTTGTTTTCTTTCTCTGCCTTTTTTTCCCGTTCTAGTCTCATTAAAAAAATGAATCACTTTTGTATTACTAAAAAAAATAGCTGTCACTCAAAAAATAGCCTGGCCAGGACATCTTTGAAATAGCCAGTCACCTTTGATGACTCACGGCTTTGAAAGATATTCTTCCTTGGATGTGTTCCTGTTATGAGTAGTGTACTGTAAAGTTTAATTTTGTTTCAAAAGTGATATTTTTTGCTTTAATTTATGAAATCGTTGTAGGTCTTTTGACTGAATTGGAAGAGATCCGTGTCCAGCGAGAGCAGACAGGGTTGCAGTCCGACCACGTGTCGAGGTTACAGGCACGACAGCTGACAGAGCACGTAGCTACCATCAAGGCATTGGAGGTAGGTTACAAGGAAGGAAAGATATTAAAGCTGTAGATATCAGACCGTCAAATTTTGAAAAAGGTCTCAACCACCAACTGAGTTGAAAGATCTGAACAATTAGTCCTGAGCCAGTGGAGTGTATCTCCCTTGCAGTGATGTCAAAGGCAGGGGAATCAGAAGGCGGGTTAAGGGGGATGTTTTCTCTCCACCGTGAGGACTACGTCAGAGACGTACGGACTACGTCCCTCCGCTTTCAGAAACGTTTCACAACCATTACATGATGTCTTCCTGTGATGAACCACGTTTGCATCAGGAAGCTCAACATCATCTAAGTCTTCCTTCTCTTGTCTGCTCTTTTATACAACTTCCTTCCTGTCTCTTTATTTTTCAACATGCTTGAGATGTTTCAGACATTTGTCTGAAATCAAATTTGTTGAGTTTAAGAGAAAGACATTATCAGTAAGGCTGTGCATCGGAACCTGGTACCCGAGTACCCGACCGCTGATGTCAGGAACCGGTTCCAGATTATGGAATCGAGTACCAACTTTACAAATAACTTAGTAACTTCTCGGACAATCAAAAAAGAAAGGTTGGAATGCCATTTGTGGGGAGTTTTCAAAACGAAAACGGGGCTTCATGGAAAACCTAAAGATATTTCACGTTTATGTGCATTTTTAAGTTGCAAATCCTTTACCCTGCACCTATGGCTTCCCTCTTACTGTATGTTTTCTTCCCAGGCTGAGAAAGAATCTTTAAAACTCCACATCGATCAGCTTGAGAGTGACATGGCATCTGCCATGGACGGCCAGAGAGCCATGTCCACCAAGGCACACGATGCCGAGAAGCGCACCATGGAGCTGAGAGGTCAGCTGGAGGAGGCAGAGCACCGACGGAAGATGGAAGTAACTGAGCTGAAGATGGAGATGGTTAGGAGCAGAGGAGAGTTGGAGAGGGAGAGAGATGTGATGGCCAATGAGCTAGAAGGTAAGACAGAGATGTGGTAGCTAAAGACTGAAGTGGTTAGGAGTAGAGGGGAGCTGGATGGGGAGAGAGATGCAATGGCCAATGAGCTAGAAGGTAAGACAGAGATGTGGTAACTAAAGACTGAAGTGGTTAGGAGTAGAGGGGAGCTGGCTGGGGAGAGAGATGTGATGGCCAATGAGCTAGAAGGTAGGAAGATCAGGTAGGAAGTGGTAGAGGATTTGTGATGAAGAGGTTGCAGCCAAACATTCAGGATAGATGGGACAAAAAGAGAGCAGCATTGGCAAATAAGCTGGTTGATTTAGAAGAATCCGGGAGGGTCAAAACATTGATTATTAGTTTTAAATTCTGAGTATTTGTTTTTGACTTGAATGATCAGGTTGCCAATCCAATCTGGAGATCTTGAAGAAAGCCTCAGAGATGCAGGCTCAGGCTGTAGGTGAGAGAGAGAAGGAAGCAGGTCGCCGCATCCAAGCCGCCAGGGAGGAAGAATGGGAGAAGATCAACAGACTAGAACAACACAAGTAAGAGTGAAATAGTCATCACCATGTGGGCATTTTCATCAAAACAGACCATTCTGGGCAGCTGGGACGAAAAAAAGTTTTAATTATTGTTAGAATAATAATTACTGGGAATGGGTCATTAGGGAGACTTTCCCATAGACTTGTGCACACAATTTTTTCCAACTTAAATGTGCCCTAACCCAATCTTCCCTTGTCCTTTTTCCACGAATTTCGGTATGTTTACTAATTAGACCACGAGCAACAAATATAACCTAATTGTGTCAGTAAAATTTTGCCTTTAAAGGCGGGCTGTGCCATTAGGGAGACAGTTATGTGTCTCCCTAATGACCAGTGCCTCCCTAATTTTGAAGAAATTACGATAACATGTCTCCCTAATGGTATATTTAGTAATATACAGATCTTTTTGTGTACAATGTCGTTTTCATTTTTCAAAACAACTTTCTTTGGCAAAATTATGCCTGATCGGGTTGCATGACGAACCTTAACTAGAGACGCTCTACAGATTGTGGAGAAAAACCAACTGCCGAAACCCCTGCGAAAGAAAAGACATCAACCAATCCATAACCCTAAACTATTATCCAAACGTCACACTCTTATGAGTGACAGCCGAGAGAGAGAGAGAGAGAGAGAGAGAGAGAGAGTATAGATAATTTTCCCCATAATTTGCTATTTCAGAATTTTTCTTCCATCGACTACAAATATTGTTTTGTCTTTTTTATCGTTGTGATTTGCACAGCTTGGAGCTGGAGGCCAGACTCCATGAGTTTGACAAGCTCAAGATAGAAGAAGAATCACAGAGGCACGCGGAGAGGGAAAAGTGGGAGGAGCAAGTGAAATCAGCCAATCAGAGGAGAGATCAGACAGAGAAGGATATGCTTGCACTCAGGTGAGCCCACAGGGGGCAGCAGACACAGTGAAGCTTTTCATTGTTGTAGATCTTGGATTTCAAGCCTTGTCTACAGTTTTCAATAACGGAGACCTCATGCAGAGTGAACAGAAAAAGTTTGCTCTTATAGTGGCGAGATTCGCCGAAATGAACAAGGGAAATTGCTATTGGCTATGTGCGCCAACGAAAGAGGGCGCCCTTTTACCTAGCAATGACGTCCCATGGGTGGGACATTTAGCTGGTTGACGCGCACCGTTCCTTGTGTGTGATGCACGTACACCAGGGGATGTGTACTATGTTCACGCAGTGGCACATTATGGTACGGCCGTGCGTCGCGGCAAAATTGCAGTCAGGCAAGATGGCGTCGGTCGGTCACCCCCAACTGTGCTTTCTTTGCCGGTGAGGGGGTACTTGTGAACGGAGCGGATACATGCCCAAACATTTGCTAGCTTAACACTTTTGTTTGGAATTAAGTGACTGAATTTGACAGAATTGAAACAGTGTACTATAATGTTTGAGCATATTTATATATCAGCTCACAGTCTCCAACCAGCATCACTTTGAGCTGAACAATTAGTTAAACATACACGAAGAATTTAGCCAATTATACCCCTTGCATCTGGACAGCAAACTGTCTTTATAGACATTGGGTACTCTCATTGTCAGTGAATTTGAACAACGAAAACTGCGATCAGTGAAAGCCCATGTGCAAAGTGGTTGTGTTTTTTTAATTTTTTTTAATTTTTTTTTTATAGAAGTTGATCATTACAATACTGAAAACCAATCAAGGTAAAGTGCTATTAAGAAAAGCAATTGAAATGAAAAGCAAATGAGAGATGCACCGGTTTAAAAGAAAAGAAATGTTTCTCTTGAAAGGGAGCAATCGTTGGATGAACTATAGTTACCAGTTTCACAGGAATTTAAACCTGGTTTTTGATTCATCAAGTCTTTTGTAATTCCATGAACAATTCACTGATTCCTCTTCACGTGATCAGGGCCAGGATAGACCACCGCAACACCCTCGCCGAGGACCTAGAAAAGCAGCAGTCGCAGTGCAACGACCTGCAGCAGCAACTCCAGCAGACCACCATGGAGCTGCACAGCCTGCAAGCCGCAGAGCAAGAACTGAGCACCGAGAATGACCGCCTCAAGACCACCACCGGCATGATGAGGGACGAGGTGCGGGCAGCCCGGGCCGAGGCCGAGCGGACCGTGGAGGTCGCCCACGCCAAGCTAGAGCAACACAAGGTGGCCCTGGGAGACGAGAGACGACAGGCGGAGCGCAGGGTGGAGGAATTGGAGACGGAGATTAGGGCGGGGCACCAGAGGGCGGAGGAGGTGGCCAAGATGCACAGGAAGGTGACGGCAAAGTTGAGACTATCCCCAGATTCCCAAATATTGAACTCCCGGTTTTTCAGTGATGGACTCGGGACTCAATAGTCTAGCGCTTTGGTTGGGATACTTACATATTTAAACAACAAAAGAATTCAGAATCCATTCACAAATGATCCCAAATGTTTTAAATGGAACTATAAAAAGGACCTTTTTTTAAAAATCTGCCTTCCTTTTAAGAAAGATTTCTGTAATCCTGTTGAATGTACAAAGCATTACAAGAACCTTTGTACTACTCCGCATTCTGTTTTCCTTGTACAACTTTACTTTGAATCATCCTGCAAATTAGAAACATTTGCCATAAATAGAAGATTCATTTGAGTTTGAGATTCATGTTTTTTGTATCGATGTTTAATGCATTCTATTTACCTAAATAGTTTTTTTTTCACCACGCAGAAAAAGAGGAAGTACCAGAAGGTAGTCGACCGTCTGAATGAGAAAGTGCAATTACTAGAAGCTAAGAAAGAAGAACTCAAACTAGAGAAGCAGGCACTCAGGTGAGCACGCTAGGAATGGTTTAACCAGTTTAGGCCGGGTTTATTTTGACAGTGACCATACCCAGGCGCGGGATTATTTTATTTTTCAGCCCAAAATCTGGGGGAAACAAACCTGATATTTTCAGCCTCACTCAGAAATTGAAGAATATTTTTTTTTGTAATTCGAGGTTAAAGGTCATTTCTTGCACATTTTCTCTGCGCTTGGTGCTATGATTTTAGTTTGATTTTATGAAATGGAGGCCATTCAAACAGCTTTAATATGATGTACAACTTGGCTTTGTAGGCGCTATGGAGTACCGAAGTGTGACGTCATTTGGAACCAGAAAGTGTAGTGCAAACGAATGGAGAACACGCTCGTGTTGGTTCACGGGCTGAATCACGCGCTAACGTCTTTCACACACATTTGTGCGCGTGACGTATTCACTTCGGTACTCCATAGTTTTTGAGATACAAGTATTTAAAGTTCGGAGGCCATGGTAATTAGTCAAAAGTTTGTTGACCCATAATCTCAAAAACTAACAAGTCAAATTCCCAAAAAAAAAAAAAAAAAAATCAGTTTTGGGGTTTCTCATATAGGACCAATCATCACACCAAATATCGTTTCAATCTGTGAGGGTCGGGTCCAAAATTGTGTTGATTTGACACGGAATGACCCTATACTACAACCTACGATTTCTATGTCAAGTGTAGAATTATTTTGCTAGCTCTGTAATCGTTCAATAGACCATTATCATATTGCGGCCATTTGGATTTTTCTCATTTAAAAAAACTTAACCAAAGTGAGGCTAGAAGGAAAATAGTCTGGTTCCTTTTTGCACAAAAATACTTTATCATTCAGTGCTGTTATGGGATACAGGGAACATGACTGAAATGGTGGCAGCATGATGAAGGTCTATGGTGATCATTGTAGAGGAAATTCTGTGGCTAGAAGAGCATTAGCAAATTTGCCCTGTGAGTAACAAGTGAGACATATGGGCATATGTTTTAACAGGTTCCTAACCTGCAGTCTTTCTTGTCAAATTGCAATTAACAGGAATAAGATTCCCAAGGAGACTTACGCCAAGGCTGTCCAGCGTCTGAGGGACCTGCAACGTCGTCATACCGAGTTCAGGAGTCTCTTAGCGGGGGCCAACGCAACCTTGCCACTGATTGATGTGACGGGACCGGTAGATGCATCCACGCCGTTTGCCAGAGTGGCAGTGGAACAGGTATGGTGGTAGTCTAATGATAATGAAATATATGGCCAAAAAATAACCCAAATTCTCCATTCAGTATTAGTCAATTCAATACAATATTTATTTCTATTCAACCATAAGCTAAAGAAGAAGTACATGGAGATTAGAAGAAATTTTAGAGAATATAAAACAAAAGCAGCACACAATAACAAACATAAATACTAATTGTTCAGAGGGCTTAGATCTGTACTGAGCCCTTAGGAACCTTTCTGATTTTTGTCTACTTGGCTGAAAAGGGATTTGTTCAGAGCCAAATAGCTTTTACCTTAACGTAAAACTCTTTACTGAAAGGACAGGTCTATATTTGGTCAGCATATTAGCACCCCTTAAACAAAGACATTGACAAATTGGGGAACTACCAAAGTAGGGCTGGATAGCTCAGTTGGTAGAATGTCGGAACGGTCGCAGATTCAAACCCCGCTCCCAGTCAATTTCTTTGTTCAACTTTCAAAAAATTGTTAGGTTAGCATAGTGCACTGTTGAGCAAAGAACTTTGAAGCGTATGTACGAGCTGTAACTATTGATCCTTTGGGGTGGGGTGGGGAGGGGTGGGGGGACTGGTGGGGGTTGGTGCTGGGGAGGGGAGTTAACACAAAATTTCTTTGTTAACACTGAAAAGCACATTTAAACGTTGATCGTAAAGCGCAGACTTCCACGAAATTGGGTTTATAGCTTTTTTGTCAAAATGAAGAGTAAACAGTGTGGATGCATATGCATGAACAGAACGTGGCGCTTCAAGAACTCGAGAGCGCAGGGTTGGAGACACGTTGCTCGCACGCAGACATGAAGAACACACATTTATCTACTTCGTGTGAGCACCAGACATACGGGTGGCGGCTGTATCGAGTCCCTTCCAGTGGTCTCCCCCAACTCTCTCTCTGTAACCAAGTGAGGGGGTACTTGTGCAGGGATGATGTATATGTAAAATTTACTGCATGTCCGAATACTCATTTTGTGGCGAAGAGGGAAAACCAGAAAACATTGATTGTCTATCTATTAAAAGTTTTGCAGAGTTTTACATTTGTTGCTTTTCTTTTTCTGTTTCCAGGAGAGACTCCACCACGAAGACCTGACTCTGATCAGGCGTCGTCTGGACGACCTGAATGAAAACCAGAAACTCCAAATGGATGCATTGCTTGGTGAAGCACCCCTCAGTTCCAGGACTGACATCCTGTCTCCTCGTAGTGATGAGGACAAGGAGAACTAAGCAGGGTACCTGTCTGTGATCATGGATATCTTAAAAAAAAACTATTCAGGGATGTTAGCATTGATTATTCTGTTTGAAGATGGGACGAAATATTACAAAACAGAAACAAGAGTGTTACAGATCTCATTTTATGAGTCGTCTTAATTTCAAGATCAAATATAAGCCAGGCTCAGCTTAACACAAAATTCTCACGTATTATGAACTTCTAATCTGAGCTTATGCAGAGCTGTGATCTCGGATGAAATTTGAAAGACACTTGCTCTCAAGAAATCTCCTTTCCTGGTCAAGTTCACTAAGATGCAACACATATTTTTGTCAAATTTCAATAGATGTCTAAATATCTTCCACAAGATCACACAATTGAGTTTGGAGGTACTAAATGCAGTGCGACAGTCATGTTGTCAAGACTTTTCCTGAGCTTCAACAACTACTCATGTAATGGAACATCAGATTGAAGATCATGAGCGAGCAAGAAAAATACTCACAACAGTTACATCCAGGATTTCTTGGCAGTTTATGTGACTACTTCTCACTGTACATTTGTCTAGTCATTAAACCCTCCTAGTCTTCTGCACCTCACAACCCTTCAAGTTTTGCAAAAACACTTTTGCTGATAGAGTTAGCGCCCACACTTCAAATTCCTTTGAGGCAATCTTCTGTGGAGTATGGATACCACCTCAAATCCCTGCACAATTCTTTTGTGTGGTTAAGCTCAGGGCAAGCAGGCAGATTCAGTCACGCTTCACTGCTCTCCACAGTGCTGTTTTTGTGTGCAGTGACTCTCTGGCGACACAGTTACAACATTTGCAAACATCCAAAAATAAAACTACCAAATCATTTTGAAATATCTTGCTGGACTATTAGTGCATGACAGTGTAAAGCATCCTGTAAAATCATGGCACCTGGTATACTGTCATTTTCAAGAAAAGTGGTAGGTATTTTTGTATCAATTTCCAATGCTGATCGGCTGACCAGCGTTGGAAAAAAACTGGCTTTTTTTCTTCAAATACTGGCCCCAATTGACCATCGCACTTGTTTGCAATCGATTACCCACCTATGAACGGGTACAAGCCAGCTAGACTGGTTCCCTGACCTTACAATTCCCCAATGCATGTAAACTGCTCTGTTTCTTCTTAAATGGAGTCAGGGAACCAGACTACAGGAAAATGATTCTTTTTCTTGGTTTTTATAGCATTTTTGAACCCAAAACCTAAAAAAGTCAGTGTAACTATATTTGCTATATATTTCCAACCCCCCAATTCCATCCATTTCTGAAAATTACAGCAAAAGCAAATGATGTATATTCCCTTTAAACATTTCATATCCCTTCACCTGAAACTGAACTGCAGGGTTTTAAAGGGTTTTACATATTACTCTGAAAGTTGACTTTCCACTTAAAGGGTAGCTCAAAGGGTATGCAGGTCAAACACGTCCCAGCAATTTAGGCCAAACAAAATTTCTTAACACCATCTGATGCTTGTGCAAGTATGAATTTATTTCATCTGATTGCTACTAAAAAAAAAGGGTAACACATTGTGCCAGTTTTACCTTGTGTCATGCCTCCAACATTCCGTTAAAACTCCACATCTATGCAGACCGCAATCCCTACAAACATTCCAGAGACATTGAAGCTGAATGATAACCATTTGTATTCATGACTAAAATGCTGCACTCTTAAACATGGAACAGTCGTCCATCATTGAGGACGTGTGTATTAATACATGTATTATGCAGTTTGTGGTTCAGTTTTTATATTTTATATATTTTATGTTATCAAGATTTTTGCCGTGTGTGTTATTGTCGTATATTATTTATTCAAGTACAAGTTAGTAGACGTAACCAAGTTTAACAGTAAAATGCATTAGTATCGGACAGTTTTGGGCCAGTTTTAGGATTAGTCCTTAGAAAGCAAGCCGACAAAATCATGTTAGTTTGTAAAAAAAGTCTCTTTGTTTGGGAGGGGGGGGGGGAAGCCACCAATGGATGTTGACGAAAAACAACGGCAGGGTAAAAATGCAGAGAATGGTGATATGCTTGATAGCAGGAAAGGAGCTGGTAGTTTTATGTCGCAAAACCCTTACCAAATTTGTAAAAAAAATGTTCATGAATTTTTTTTTTGGCCCCACTTATATTACTCTACATGGGGCTTTGTGTTCCCCATACAGGAATTAGCCCAATGAAACTTAAAAGCCATTTCTGTGGTTGTGCCATGCCGCATGCCGCATGCACGCCTCATGCGCGTGCCACACGCGTTCATGCGCGTGCCACACGCGTTCATGCGCGTGCCACACTCGTTCATGTGCGTGCCACACGCGTTCATGCACGTGCCACACGCGTTCATGCACGTGCCACACGCGTTCATGCACGTGCCACACGCGTTCATGCATTCCCACATGCATTCCTATAAGATAAAAGACGAGGCGCGCTCATCTTGGTAACCCTATTGTGGACTTTGAAGAATCTTTGGAGGGTGAGGTTTAACTTTGACTCCCAGAAGTAGCTCTGACAGTAACTTTTGCCATATTTTCTATCACATATCAAAAGTATACACAAGATGAACTTGATGTTGCAAAAATGAAATGGAATAAAACAGTAATTCTCCAAAACATCAAAACGAGCGTGCAGTGTGCAAGTTTAATTTTATGCCTTCGTAAAGATTAGAATAAGGCCCCACAAATCCCTATGTCCAGAATGCATGTGACATATTAAAAACAAACATTTCCTACATTTTGTGCATTTCCTAAATTTTGTGCAGTGTTATTTGATGCCGAAATTAGTATGTTTTACTACACATTAGTCTGCACACATGAATTTTTTTACTTTTGGTAAAGTTATGTTAGGGAAATAATTTCAAATGTTGGTGAAGCTGATGCGAATGTGACACCCCCCTCCAAAAAAACCCCCCAAAAAACAAACAAACAAATAGGACCAAAAAGTCACAAAAAGCACATCATACAAATTAGAATTGGACCATACCAATTATTCAAATTCCAAAGGACGAATGTATTATTGTTGTTCAAGTTCTTCCATTTCTTAATTATGCAGTTTATTAAAGATATAGTCCATCATTTGTAATTTGTGCATTTTGTCCGTTTGAAGCAACAAAAGTGTTCAAAATCTAATGAAGGATACTGGACAACTAACCTGATGAAGTTTCAGCTCAGCTTCAGCTGTATATTTCGAGAAAAACAGCATTCTAGGATCTCAATTTCAAATCAAAAGTTGCTGAATCATGTTTTGAATTGTTTTAAATTGCAGCTAAACGCGATGTCGCGCACTGATCCGACGAATTACAGCAACCACGCGCGCGTGTGCTTCGTGCCAATGCTTGCGCGTGCTTCGCCGAATAACAAAACGAACTACTAATTTAAATTTTCCTAAGACGCACCATTGGAAAGGCCTTCTTTCGTTGATTACCTCAAAATGACAGCTTGCCAGAAAGAATAATTTCACAGGAAGTCTTGTCCCCTTACCATCTTTCAACCAAGTATGTTTTTCAACAATAATTACGCCAGTTACTTTTCGGATGGCTGCAAATGATGGACTATAGCTTTAACGCAAAACAGAATCAGTACTTACTGATGAAGCTCTACACGAAAGGTATTTTGATCTATCTGTTTCCACATTTGTAAGATAAATGAAAAAAGAATAGTCTTGAAAAAAAAAAAAAAAAAAAAAAAAAAATTCCTATACCATTCCTAAATTCTTTGCACTTTTATCACAGCATTTGTCTCATTTTCTAAGGAGGTAATACTTTTGTATTAAAATTCATTATATAAAATAGTTTTCAAAATTTGTCATTTTATCTATACACGATCCTGCACAAGTATACACTCAAATAGTGTCTTCAACAAAAAGCAACCAGCGTCAAATTTGATGCATCTGTGGCAGAATCGATGGATTGTTTGAGGTTGAATGTGGCCGCTGACCAGCAACTGACCCAACTCTAAATTAAACTGCCGAAACCACAGGGGAAGCGGAGGAACCATGCACTTGTTACAAAATACCCCGGCCCAGGCTTTTCATCTTTCCCCTTAAGCTTTCTGGCCACCCCGGCCCCTTTCCAAAACTGCATGGCTGCATTTATGGATGCTTTTCATTCTTTCAATTGTGTCTCCTGAGTGCCGAAACCCACGTGGGCACTCTTTGAGCATAAAACGCCCCAAGAGAAAGGGAAATAAAAGGAAATCAAATTGAAGTTTTCCTTTTGTACCGTAACCAGCGAAAAGAAAAACTCAAATTGTGCGTTCATTCACGCACGCATACTTTATTGGTAGGGGATATATATATTGTGTTCATGTACATGTACATGTAGGTCGAACCACTCGTGTGTGGGAGTAAACCAGGAAGTGTATGTTATTCTATGTCTCTTGCAGTTGTGCACTTTCTGCCTGTCCCAGTACTTACATTTTATTTTTTTAAAACATTGATTTCAGGGATTCTACTTGCATATACATATGCTTGCTTCAATAACAGTTTTCTTCAGCATAATAAATGAATTGGATAATTATTATGAAAGATAATCTCGAGTATTCTCGAGTATTTTCGCCAAAACGTATTATTGATGAGCTTATAATTAAGTTACTTATTTGCACATTTACTTTTATAAGAGTATATGGAAAATCATGTGAACAATGGTAACATCATGATATTAAGCCCAGAAAAGCCCGACGAGCGAGTCTTGACAAGTTCAACAATAGCCCCGCTTAATAGAGATTATGGTGGTTTTAAAATAATTATGTCTACGTCAAAATGTTTTTTTTTACGGATACAGTGGGGGATTTATGTTAAAATTTGAAGGTCAATGTTGTACGTGATATCATTATTCAAGACCTTCGCCCGTGGATACGGATGAAATGATTAGGGCCTAACTTTTTTAATAAAACAATAATTGATCGTTGTCAAATTCTCCCTGTTATAACTTCCGGTTCGATGACGTCACGATCCTGAAACCTTGCAAAGTCGTTTATAATATATCTGGGCAATTTAGTAACATTTTGACAAAATTGATACAATGGAGACATTTTGATTTCATTATTACTCAGTAACAACAAAAGTTTTATTTCAATTTTGATGAAGTCTGCTCTTACAAACTGCCATTGTGTTCTTTTAAATCCTCACATCCCACTATTTATTTTTACTTTCACCCTTAGTAAATACTGTGGCGAAACAGGGTGCCTGCAGACTAGTCTAATCTATGAATTATGTATGCGCGCATAGGTCATTAATATTAAAGGCGCGTAGACCAATCCGCAATGAAATATATGGCGTGACTTGAGCATCAATAATGCATGAACGCGCGTAAGCCAATCACCAGCACGCATTGCCCAAAATTGGGGCGCTTATAAAGAGGTGTTTGACATCGCCAAGCCTCTTCGTTCCAAGATGGCGACGGTGCTGTAAACCCGAGACCTCATTGTGACTCATTTCTGCGATTTCGTGCTAAATCCTGAGGGTTATTCAGATTTAGGGACAACGTCCGATCAACATAGTTACTTGGTGCGACCGGTGAGTTGGTGGAGTCTCTCAGGTTTTGTTATTGACTCAATTAACTGTCTATTATCTTGGAGAATTGGTGACAAAGATTTAGTCGGGAATTAAGACTGACTATTTTGTCTGGATTAATTAGTGCTAGAACATAAGGGGCTAGGAGTTGTGGAACTTGGTTTGAGAGGCTAGTGGGGCTGCGATTCGGTAGTAGATTGCTTGTCGTGGGTTGGACATCATTTGGTGGGGTTTTACGACTGAGGCGATCATTGCCGTAATAGCTTGCCTAACGAGTTACTCTTTGCCGTGTTCTGAGCACTTGTGGGGGTTACTGGTTTTGTGTGTGTGGGTTATTGCACATAATGATTATAATTATTGTGTAATCGTGTTGAGGGGTACCTTTCCTGGGTGAGGGTTATTGGAATTACACAGTTCAACCTGCTTCGACGCTGAGTCGGGTTGAGGGTTACCTTTATTGTGTAAGTTATAGGGACAGTTCAACCTGTGTGAGGGTTATTAGAACTGTGCTACTTCATTGTAATTGTATAAGTTAATACACACGGTGCAGTTGACCGCATAAAGTTCATCTTTCTGTTTATATTGTTAAGTGGTGCAGTTGACCACGTGTTACGTTAGACTAAGTTACTTCAAAAGGGTGCAGTTGACCCTGGAGGTAACGAGTGAGGGTTATTGAGATATTTACGTCCATAATATTTATCACCTCGTACATTGTATATTATTGTAAATTATTGTAGTGATTATTGAACAAATCCATTGGTGATTAAGATCTTTGAATAAATCAAATCTATAATCGTCTTTGGAATCACTTGTCTCTGTGAGGGTTACTCAGGTTCATCGTGAGGGTTACCAGGATCACTGCGAGGGTTACCAGGTTCGCTGAGGGTTACCTAGGTCTGCCGTGAGGGTCACCTGATGCACCTTGAGGCCTACTGTCGCTACTTGTGTTGCTCTAGTTCCATTCAATTAGTTACTCAGTCACAAAACGGTGGTATATTTCCACCAAACGAACAGCCCCTAGGCTTAGTCCACCGTTCGTTAATTGTCCCCCCTTTCGTTTGGGTAGCCGCTCACCCGTTCGTTAGGCTAATACATATTTTTTGTGGGATAATAGGTGTGGGTTGGAGTCCTGGGATAAACAAGATCAGTCCCCTGGGTTCCGCTAGCCCCCCGGTTCCGCCACAGTACCCTCTCATTTGTTATTTTCTTAACCACAGATAACACATCAATCACCATTTAACATTTCCACTTGACGAGGCATGCTTTACCACTTTGAGAAGTACAAAATACTTGAACAAAAACCACAAGGCTTATAGGCAAACCAACTGATACAGATGACAATTCAGCTGATGATAAAAACAATGTATCATTGGCTGTTTATCTAGTAGACTACTCATCAATTGAAACATATTATTTTTAGTAAAATCATCAACACATACATTTACTATTAAAACGTTAGGTAAAATTTAGGATAAGAAAATTGTGAAAAAAACACAATTTTTTTGACGTAAAGTTATTCCAGTGAATGCACATCATTAAAATAAATCTGGCTTTATGACACGTGTATCTAACAATTCCTCCATTAACTTGTTATTAATTTTGACCATTTAAAAGACAAATACATGTATATCATTATCGACCTCTGGTCGTTTGCGAATGCTTCCATTTCTACATTAGGAATTATTCAAAGTTTAACTCTCAACAGTTCAGTTTTTCATTAGTAAAAACATGTATATTTTTTGAAACTCTACGAATAAAAAGAAGCGAACACGTCTTAAATACCTTAACATTAATATTGTTCATGTAAACTATATTTCTGGTTTTTTTCTGTATTCCCCTAATGCTTTCTTTCCGCATCATTTCCTTGTCATTTCTTTCCATATATTTCTTTTGCTCTCAATGTATATTTGTTTATTAATATCAATCGTCGTCAACGTTCGCTGCATTTTTACGGCATAGTTTGATTAACGTCTTAACTTCAGATTGAAGTTAAAACATGGCTGATCCAAATTCACAATAAAACTATTCTCTTCTACGTATGTCTCAATCGTGTGCGATAAAATGGATAATCATGAAACTTCATACATATATGTTTTACTTCAACAGTTGATGAAAAAAGTTAAACCAATCTTAAAACCAGAAGCATCGTAAAGGGAAATGCTTAATGAAACTCGAACATGACTGATCAATCTTTATCTCAAATATAAATGCATATAATGAAATTCAAATCGAACGCAAGACATTTCCCTACGTTTATGACGTAAGGGTATAACGTCAATTATTTGGGGTATAATCCCGTTAATGCATATATTGAGGTCGAACTAATAGCTAAATTAATACCAAACACACCTTCCATTAACTCCAACGTACAACTGAACTACGATCTACATTATTTCTAAACATATTTCAAGTGTGTGGCAGCAAAGCACAGTATAATTTTATTTTCTTTTGAAGCTGCAGACTTTTCCTTTAGCCATATATCATAGTATAATACATATGCGAAAAAAGTATTGATACAAAACGACGCATCTGCCATATTTTGGCCAACACATAAACCTGACCATTTTATGCTTTATCACACGAATGATTAGTCCCGCTACAAAAAAAAACCCCACCCCCCAAAAATATCTTTTTTTTCTCAATGTCTTTCCCCCAACATTTCATATCAATTTATCAACATATATGTTTTACTACCATGACAGTTTGAGATAAAACAATTCTTACATCTAAAAACATCGTAACATATTTCATGTGTGTGGCGGCTAAGCATAGCATAACCTTTTGAAGCTGTACACTATTCCTCAAGCTATAAATCTCTCAATATCAGAGTATGATAAATATGGAAAAATGTAATGATTCAAAGCGACGCGTCTGTCATATTTTGACCAACACATCAACTTGAACATCATAATTATCACACCAATAATTGGAACCGCCACAATTTCAACACACAAAAAATATCGTAACAGTTGGCTATCACTCAAACTTAAGACACTAAAACAAACTCTTCTCGGTATCTAAACTAAGCTGGATACCTTTTCAAAACTAAATGTAATACAACGCTTCTGCTATCTCTCCAAAGCAATACGATTGCAAAACTAAATATTTTGCCTTCCACTAGAAACTCTTGTTGTAGCATGAGTTATTTTATCAAATGCACAACATTGTCTTTCAAGGGTGTGGAATCCACACAACAAATTGTATATCTTTGTACATGCATACATGTATGCAGTATATGGGTGGTATTTAAATTATTGTACAAGTATTTGATGACCTTGCTAATCATGAGAAATGTGTTTTTTTGGTAATTTTATACCAAGTACTTTGCGCTTAACAAATGTCCTACATATATTGTTACAAATACAAAGCACATATAAACCCTTGCGCTCGATTTTTTTCTATGTGAATTTCCAAATCGAGTACAGCTTATTTACAAACACCTTAATCCTACCTCTTGTCTATGTAACCGTAAACAAACAAAAAAGCATCTACAATTAACAAGCTCACGGGTGTCTCTTTCAACAATTTAACTGTTACTTGGCTATGAACAAGGAACAAGACAGAATCAGGCATAGGAGTCTTCGAGCAACTTCTGACAACGTCAAGATTTATTTTAAAGTAGCATCAGCTTCTTATACGTAATTGTATTATCTCAGTGCGTATAAAACAGATGAGAAAATAAGAAATTGACGTTTTTGACGTCAGTACATCAAGTGCAGCGCCCCAGTGTCTCCTGATGACTCGGTTATCTCCGACTAAGGCTTATCAATCGAAGGCACGTGAACATACTATAATAGAATTTATACAGAAATTCAGCATAGTCAAAATGAAGCGCACAAACTACACACGACATCTAGGCCCTTCGAGCCATTTATTCAGTTATTTTCTTAAACGAATGCAGCTTTTTGCCTATTTGCATCATGTCTAAAACAACCTGATACCGATTATCTCTTGGACAAGGTTCAGTAGTTCTTTACACTTCTCCAAAACGTCCGCTGTGCTGAAATGACTGTATTCCTGCCCACTTGTCTTTGAGTTCCTCTGTGGGTAGCGAGGTTTAGTGAAGTCGCAATTCCGACGAACGAGTTCAAGTGTTACTTCAAACACTCGAACAGAAATGACGTCCCTGTGCCGGCAAACTGTTCTTGCTAGAGATATTAGATCGTTACTGTTTATGTCTGGATGTCCGTCCAGACTGTACTGAGCAGCTTTAAGAGCAGTTTCTGCGGCCTGATGTAACTGGAAGGCTATCCACTGAGTCGGAACTGGTTCATGTTGGCTCGTCTGCTCTGCAACCTTAAGGTGTTCCTTGGCCTGACGGAACCATAGCCGTGCTTGTCGTAGATCTGGGGTCTCTCTGGTAAAGGACGGTGGAACAAAGTTGCCATATGATCTGTTTGATTTGGCGCCGGTAAAGGACGGCGGCACAAAGTAACCTTCTGATCTGTTTGATCTGGCGCCGGTAAAGGACGGCGGTACAAAGTTACCATATGATCTGTTTGATCTGGCGCCGGTGAAGGACGGCGGCACAAAGTTGCCTTCTGATCTGTACGATCTGGCGCTAGACTGACTTCGGTAATACTTCTCTTGATATTTTCTGGCTTCCTCCCTGTCCCTATCGACATCTGATTCCCAGTTGGAATACTGATCAGAGCACCGCTGGCTGGACTCATCATCCCTCTCATGCCTTTCTATTTCCTGTTTGAGGAATTGGAATGCCTGACTGGCACGTTCCTGCTGGCCTGGATTCTTATCGGGATGCCACTTGCGATAGAGACGGTACAAAACTTTTTTACGTTCCTCCAGCGGCATTCTAAATACTTCGTCAACCTCCTTCTTAATCTGCTCTTCGATTTCCTGCATGTCTTCTGGAAGAGCTTGTTCAACATCTGCCGCAGATGGAACATCAGATGTGGGTTCTCCGGTGAAAGGAACGACTGTCATGTCTGGTTGTTTCTTTGGTCGTAGGAATTTATAAAGTGTTGTCACTTTAACAATGATGGGATCCTTTTCTCCGATGTCAATTTTGAATCGTTTAGATAAGTTGACTGTCTCATCACTCTTGTCAATCTGCTCAAGGATTGTTGCATATATTTTCTCAGTAGCACCATCCGCCGGTGTTTCTGACGGTACCCTATCACCCGTGTCAAATGCAAGGTCGTCGTTGTCATCGTACTGTAACTGGTCTGCGTCGTCAATGTCTCTTTCATAACCTACTATGTCACCAACGAGGAAACGATTGTAGGGATCGTGATCAAGGAGGTGATAAATATCTCTAGGTATTAGAGTTCCCGGTCTGTGCTCGTCTGGTTCAACATCTGGTGTTGTGGTGTCGTACTCAGATATGTCAGACTTGGAAAGAATTGTATTCATCTCCGCAAGATTTTGACAGTCCAAAGCATCCGCACAGAGACTTTGATGTTCAGAATCTAGTAGACCTCCTAGGAGGACATTGCAACATTTTGCAATTTGCCCAAAAGTCAAACTCTTCTCCTGAGATAGTGAAGAGTGTTCCAGGTATATTATGCCCATCCGTTTTTCGAAATACGCGCTCCGCGAGTGCTGTTGCTCTGCAATCTTTTGTCCATCATTGTCGTATAAGCCAAGTTTCAATTCGGCTTTGCAGACGAACTTGTCAAATTGCTGGAGTTGCGTAATGCGCTCTTTAATGTCGGCACTCGGTGGATTGTTTTTTAGTTGGTGTTGTGTAAGTCTCAGCAAGACTCGAGTCATCTCCTCTGATTTCACCTTACGCTTGACGCCTTCCAGATAATCACAATGCTGTCCAGCGGGGCAGTCTTCATTGGTGTCTAACGGCTTCTCATTTATCTCATTCCCAAGATTCTTAGGTCGGAGAAACTCTGGCAGAAATTGAACGAGACGCATTTCCTCCTGAAGCCCAAATCCGCATTGCGTAAAGGGAAGGATGAATTCTCTGTCTGTGGATGCAAGATTAAAATGCTCCATTTGGTTTGGATCAGCATAGTACAGATCTGTTGACCTCCTCAAAAAGTATTCTGCATTAGGTAAATAAAGCTCGGACACAGAAAACTTTGATTGATCCCTCTCATTGCGTAACAGTCGGAAAATTGTCCGAACAGCACTCACGGCTTTATTTTTTTCGTTGGGATCTAGACGTTCACGACCACATTCCACTTTCATTGACGCCAATACTCCTGCCAGCTGGTCCAAGGAACATGACTCCTGGGCTCCAAGCAGTCTAAGGATAGTATCAAACTGTGCCAATTCTCGTGGTGCTTTGTACAAATACGGGCGCAAAGAGGGCTCAAGATCTTGGTCCATTTTAAACACCAGCTGATCCGCTCTCACCAATACACGCCCTTCTTCCACAAGACATACTGGAGTGCACTTCAACCGACGTTTAATGTCCCCACCATGCTCAGCCATGTTTAGATCTTTCAAGTATCCCAGAATCTTGCCCATGACTTCTTTCAACGTCTCTCTCTGTCCTGCTGGCAGCATGTCTTCCTTGTGAATCGCATTCCATTTCTCCATCTGTCCACAAATGTTTTGTGTATGCAAAATAACTTTGTCAGCAATTGGAGACGTTTCAATACCAAGACAGCTATGAACAGTTACACCGTTTCCTATGATGTAATTTGTCGGTACAGCCTCTCGCGGTAATACCATACACGCTGTCCAAGTTAGCTTTAAATTGGCATCAGACATCGATCCTTTGTATGCAATGAATGCAGGCGCTTGGTTGTTGTTATTGCCGGTTGAAGACAAGGAAGGGTGGATTTGTAGCAGTTCAGACTTAATTACGACGGATGGAACGAACTTGATTGTAGCGATGGTCTTTAGGAAGTCTGGATCACGGAGCTCACTGTTCATGTCAAGTTCATTTATCAGAATACGAGAGATGACACACAATTTCTCCCATTTTTCCTTGTCTTTAACTTTAACAGCCCTCTTTTCTACGTCGCGTGCAAACTGAAGGAAGTAGTCTTGGGTTACTCTTGAATGAAAACCAATCTTCTCCAGCAAATGTTTCAAGTTTCCCATGGATTCAGGCAACAACTTGATTGGGTCGATCATAGCGTTGAAGACACGATTGGCACCGTCGTAGAAGAAGCTTGCATGTCGCAGAATACCTGTTTCATCTGGAATGAACGGAATGTGAGAGAGCTGCTTCAGAATTTCCTTTCCCTTCTGTTCATGAGCCTCATGTATGACGTTGTTTATGATGAATTTGAAATGCTCCAATCTAGCATTTTGGCTAAGCACTTGGAAACTGGGAAGTATGTACGTGAGGTACATGTCAGCTTGTGTGATTGGAGTTATTCCAAGCTGTTTGTAGATCCAAACCAAGCTACGATTGGGCTCAAGAATAACACAGCTCATGTTGTCCATCCAGGTCTTGGCTTCAACCATCAACATTCCGTTGCCTTCTGCTGTGTGGTAATGATCGAAGTGGTGAAGGTCAGTGGTCTTCTCTTCTTCAAGAAGTCTGAAAACCGGGAGTCTTTTGACAGTTCTGATGCTGTCCCGTGATAGATTTTCATCCTCCTGAAAATACTGAAGAAGGGTGTTGCTCTCTGCGAGTGTTAGATCACCAATAACCCCACCTGTCTCAAACACATAATTGATAACACTTGTGACAGCCTGCCGTGATTTTGGCAAAGCCAAGTGTTTTTCCAGGAATTTGTCTAGTCCCGGTGGAGCGTGTGACACTAGTGCTAACTTACCAGTTTTATACGTTGGTTTGAGCTCGCACATGGCTAATGTTGCGATTTCTGGGAGACCAAGTTTACGCAAAGCACAGACTGTCTGCATCCCAAGTCCAACTGTACTGTTTTGCAGGAGTAACACTGTTTTAGATAAAGAAGGGGGCACCAGTTTACCGGACGTAGTTGGAAATATTGGCCAGTGGTTGATGGAATCCAGCGAGCCCCCCTTCAATGTCTCACTGCAGATAAATGCCCAGAGGTGTCCAAGCCACGTCTTGGAGGGATGGCCTTTTCTGTCTGGCGTCCATTCCACGTGTTGTGTGCAACCCTGCCACCTCTCGGGCAGATACTTCCCAAGATATTTAGCCAGCTCAGTGATGGTAAATTGTTTAAACACTCCACTGCTATAAGCTGCCATGGAATTCCCTTTCCTCTCGAACCAAGCAATGCAAGATGAAACAAGCCCGCTGTGAAGGAATATATCCTTCAGACATGGTAGCAGCCTAGAGTGGTCTGTCACATATGAACCATCACATGTTGAAAACTCACGCAGCATGCCATCAGATGTTAGACGGATGGGTAAGCCATTCAACTCAGCTGGATTTCTGATACCTTCAAGGCAGTACTCAAACACAGTACGTAGAGTCTTGATGTTCTTGAATTCGGTTGTCTCCAAAGGAGCAGGGAGGGCCTGTGCCACTTGGTGAGATCCAGATGAAACATGTTGAACTACTGACTTTGGATTAACAAACTTTGCTTCAACACCACAAGCTTGAAACGCCAAACATACGTCAGGGGAGCTGGCCAGTAGGTTAAAGTTGACCCTCAGTAAAAAAGAGCGTATTAACTCACGTGCTGTATCATCTCTCACTAAGTTCACACCTGCTTCGGGCGATGCGGCATTGAAGTTATCCGTGAAAGCAAGACTGCCATCACTGTTTGGATGATGCCAGGTGGTTGTGACAGCATCTTCGGTTTGATGTACAACAGGTAAAACCTTCAAGTTTTCCTTACCGATGTACTGGAGTGTCGCTTTTGCTAGGAGTTCCCACTCTCCATGGTACATCTTTAAATGCTTTGGAAAAAGGTCATCATACCGACAAAGGTGCTGTTTCAAAGACTTGACATCAGCTCCCCCAAGTACTATTGGTCCCGCTTGCTCGATTAATTTAGCATAGGCTGGCGTAAGTACATATTCCACTAGTATTCGGTTCCATCTATGGATGAGACCTCTTTCGTCAGAAGTACCTGATTTCGCATAATCATCGCATTTTGCAAGATTCTTTCTTGCCGAATCTAACTCAAACGTCCCATTCACATGCACTGGTAATCCGGTGTAAACCGGCAGTGGGAGAAAGCAGTAAGCTTTGCACGGCTGTTTGTGCATCTGACTTGGTGCCATCTTCATTCTGCTGTCCTTGAGGAGAGCCGCTACTCCAGCTCGTGGAAGAGGCCTCTTTAAACTAAAAGCTCTTGACACCGAATGAAATTCAGGGAGAGAACCTTTAAATCCGAGCCTCTGAGAAATGAGCCATGTTTGTTCAATGCCAAGCGAGTCACTTGTCACGAGGGTGTATACATGGGACATGGGCTCTACTTTCTCACTGGGGTTGTCTGTGAAACGCTTGAGGTGCTCCGTGAACCTTGCACGTCGTTCTTCGTTTTGTGACAATTTTGCACTGATGCAGTACTCTGTTGTCAGTTTGTTGGTGTGTTCATCAATGCACGAAACACTTATCGATTTGATGTTGTTAAGGAAAAGAAGAGCTTCCTGTGACACCTTCTTGAAGTCACCAAGCAATTCCTCTACTCTCATTGGAAAGTAAGTCTCTCGGGAAAGCACTGACGGCTGCTTTCTAAGTGGAAATCGAAAAACTGTTCCCCCCTTTCCATTAAAGAAAGGTATATCCTCCAGATATCCTTTCCACATGTCAGGGAATTTCTTTTTGAATCCATCGTGTGTCGGTAATTTTATCCCGGGTGACGTATTCCGCGTCGCTGGAGAGAACATCAAAAGCGGATCAAACACACAAAGGGTGTCACTGTTGCTAAGGAAACTGGGACAATCAGTCAGGTGGTAAACTGCATTGAAACCGATTCCAAATTTCCCAGTTGTTGCAATGTCGTCTCTCTTTCCTCCAACGCCTACCCTTTGAATGCCTTTGATGTCTGCTTCAGTGAATGGCTTGTCATTATACACACAGAGCGATGGAAGTTCTCCTACGGCAGCCCAGGAATCACATATGACCTTCTTTGCTTCATGATGACGTGGATCATAAACAAAGTGTATTTCTGTTGATCCTGCATCATCAGCATTTTGAAGAAGCTCTTTGAATACATCAGAAACATTGGGATACGACCTCAGTATGTTTTTCAGACGATCCGTTAGTTCTTCACTCTGGCCGAAATCTGTTGCAAATCCCTGCAATAGTGACCAGCTATCAATGCACTTCTCCCTTCGCGTGATTATACCCAAACCCTTAGCATCCTGGGATGGTATAGATGGATGTGTGTACTTTTCTTCAGCACGACTTTCCTCCCATTCCATGTCGTTATATGTCAGCTCGTCGGGTAAACGCAAAACCCCACATTTATCTGGGACATAGATTAAGCCTGTTTGTAAGCTGTTTTCTTGGCTACCTCCAGCGTGTTTTCCATGCTTTCCTGCCAACATGGATACAACCTCTGACAACATTGACGTCGCGTTTTTCAGGTCAGATTGATTCAGAGGTTTCTCGCCATATGTGTCCTTCAGAAGCTGGAGAGTTTGGCGGAAGTCATCCACCTGAAATTGATCTCTTACATCGCAAATCCGCAACAGGTTGCTGAACTGAATGAGGTCATGGGAAACTTTGTACAGATATGGTCCATTTTTGCCTTCGTAGAGAAAAGCAAGCTGCCTACACTCTCTGAATTGACCATCACAGAAGACGAATCTCATCGAAGAAAGCTGGTCAACAACATCACGATGCTCTTCATTGATAGTAACATCACCGTTTAGAGACTCCGTACAGAATGTGCTCTGGAGGTATGAATATATGCTGTGAACCATAGCAGATGTTTGATAGGCAATCTTGGGTGCTCTATCAATTAGAATACCAAGCTGTACAATGACATCACCGACTGCAACTTGTTTTCCCGTAAATCCAAGAAAGGTTTTGACCGTGTCACTCATTGCCTCTGACCCCAATCTGTTCTCGTCCAAGAGTGGTCGAGCTGAACCAAGAAGGTTCTTGTGTTCTCGTGTATGAAGCATGGCTGCTGGCATAAACTCGTCGTCAGACTGAAACCAATCAATAGGATAGCCTGGGGGCTTCTTCAGGACTGGAAGGAAAGCTGCTTGTCGGATTCGTCTAGTTTGATCGGCTGTTGGCTTGTCAGACCTTCTGAGCTTTTCATCTATCAGCTTTAGAAGAGTTATGCACCTCTGGTCAATATTGTCACTATGTGACAAAGATTGTGCTCTCTCACATATATCATCCCAAGATAAGTCAAGCGAAGCCATCCCTAGCTGGGATAAAGACAGAAGACGTTCTTGTTTACGATACAGCTCCCCATGTGGAAACCGGCAGTCAGTCTCGCTATACAGTGATCCAACTGGTGATTCAGGATTCACCAAATCCCGAGGTCTTGCCAAGTCTTCGCCTTCTGGGGAAGTCGGTATACACTCTGTAGCCTTCAGTAATTTATCATAATCTTCCAGTTTTCTTTCTCCAAGACGAAGATCCAACATATGAAGAACGATCTTGTTTCTGTGAATAGACTCGATGTCTTCAGGGTAATTCTCCAACATTGGAAAGAATACCTCAGACAAAAATCGCTGGATGTTGAAGGTGTTGTAGTCGAAAGCCTCTTGAGCGTCTGCTTGTCTTATGCTGTCAACTATATCTCTTTCCAGCTCCACATATCTTTTTGGGTCCTGATGCTTGTTTAGTACGGTTTTGATGCTTCTTCTCAGTTCGTCGGGATCTGTCAGTGTCCAATCAGTGAAGAAGCATTGATGCACTGATACCCACTTTCTTTGGTCAAAGAATACTTCAGGGGCATCGACACTGCTTCCTATGTTCCTGTAGAAGGCATTGACGAAAGGATGAAAGTCACTTTCAGACTCACTCCGTCTTGGCCACAAACACTGAAAATTGCGTGCATCAACAACATCTTGTTCTTGCAAAATCTGAAGATCTTTTAGTAGATTTGTAAAAGCACGCAACAAGACCGATTCCATGAAGCAAATATTCCAACGAGTCTCAAATTCTCCCGTATCGGAGGAGGGTTTGCTCCACAGCTGGCGGCGATTAGGTTGTAGTAAGAAGTTGCCATTGACATGAAATCGTAGACCGGTTGAGACATCAAGAGGGAGATAGCTAAAGGCCTTGCCCTGGGTGGTTTCAGGGGTCAACCCTCTTAGTAATTGAGCAGCAACCCCACCACATGGCATAACTCCAGATTTGATGCCCTCTTTGGTAAGGGCGAGATCTAGAGGCTTCCCCGTTGCCATGCAGGAGCTGAGGATGAAGTGGTATGCTTTCTCTTTGGGTTTCTTGTTAGTACCCACACCCAACACGCAAGTTTCCAGAGTAATTTTCACAAGCATAGTTGTCTCTGGCACTGGCACGCTGTGGCCTGGGACTTTCACACGTTTTGCTGTTGCTTTCAGGATTCCGCGTTGAGTTTTGAAGTCATCAGCTGGAACTGTAATTGAACGTGGCAGCTGTCTGACTTGTGAAACAGTGACAGATATCAAAGGTTTTCTATCGTCGATGTTTTCAGATTCAAATTCTTCCACAGTAACACAAGCCACGTTCTGAGTGAAGAGAAGGAGGGTAGAAACCGATTTCTGCAAAGCCTTTAAAAGCGGTTCAACACTTTGCCTGGAATCAAAGACAGAATCAGAAATTTGATTGGGCTGTTGGCCATCAGCTTCCGCTTTCGTCCGCAGTGGTAACCTAAAGAGTGTGTGCTCGTAGTGTGCAGCCTCAGGCAGCTTACAACCAAAGATGCCATTGTATGGTTGAAACTGGTTCGGATAACAATCAAGCGTCCATCTGTGGCTTTCATTTGTCAGATCAAGTTTGATGCCTGGCTGCCAAGGCTTGACACGGGATCCTAGATGGGTTGTTCTGGGATCACAAATAAGCACATACGGTCCGCTGACAACACTTGGAACATCGGTCAGGTGATAAACTGACGTGAATCCCAATCCAAACCTCCCAACTTTGTCAAGCTGATCTTTCTTGCTCTGGGCAGCTATATTGCAGATATTTGTAATATCATCTTTTGAGAAAATGCCATCATTGTGAGCCCAAAGAGCAGGTCCATGACATGACTTCATTCCTTCACCCAGTAGGTTGTGAGCTGTGTGCTTGTTTTCGCGCCAGTCTAGAAGGAATTTGACTTCAGTAGCTCCAGCATCGTCAGCGTTTTGAATCAATTCGTTAAAGATGCCAGGCCCTTCCTTATACATATCAAGATTACGCTTGATTGCATTCACTGTCGTTTCGTGTGGACCAGCAACATCGTATCCATACTGTACTGCTTCAACGGGAGCAATGACATGACTCAGTGGTTTTAATCCCAATTTCTGGGCAACCCAGTTCGGTATTAACTCATGACAGATTGGCCTGTCGAAGTCTTGAAAACCTTCTTCGAATATTTGTCTTGCAAGTCTCTCCTCATCAACATACAGGCACTGAGATGAACATGCCATGTGCAGCTTTCTTTCTTCTCTCTGCCTTCTACATGGAACGAGGATCCCCGACATGTTGTTGTCAAATCTTTCATGGTTTACGATGTGCCTTAAGATGTTGCAAACAAGATTTAAGTCTGTCTCGTAATCCTCTTGACTGGAAACTGAGCTGGCTTCATGCTTTTGACTGACAATTTTCAGCACTTCGCAAAGGGCGCTGTCTTGGAAGGTCTCCTGGACACCCATGCTGTTCAGGAAACTTCTGTACTGAAGATAATCCTGAGGAACAATGCGTAGATGAGGGGTCAAAGTAACACCAAGTGTGCCGTTGCTCAGGGCCATCTTGTCAGGAGTGGTGAAACCAAAACCATGCCACACCCATGGTTGTGGAGCACTCATGTGCTTATTAAAAAGGTGTCTCAATGGTAAATTTGCCACAGCAGTAAAGAAGGAATATATCGTAGACACAGTAAGAGCAACACTATACGCATTATCATGAACATTCTGGTAGTTGTTTGCAACATTCTTGAGGTGAAGAACTACCCGTTCGACGTGTTGGTAGTTGCTGGAATCAAGATTCTTTTGCCATCCAAAGACATTCAGTAGTTCACTTTTGACATCATGTAACCCGACAAGAGGGAGCACAGAGCCTTGAATCAGTGCAGAATCAATAAGTCCTACTTGCCTGGGTGAGTAGAGTTTATGGGAGTTTCCAATCCAACCAGCCTTTTTAGGGTAGTCTGCAGGTGGTGAAGCTTCACAAGGAACCCAGGACAGATCTTCAAGAAATTTAAACAGTGCTTTACATATCATGTTGCTCGTGACCTGCTCACTTAAGATAGCAGGATAGCAGTTGATATGTTGTAAAAGGACTGATCCCCTTTCAACATCAGCTCCGCCTGTGGTTTGGGAAACCTCTTTTGCACACCTTAAAACATCATCTGGTGTCACATTTGCCTCTGATTTGAGTCCGATCCGTTTCAGGTAGTTTAGGAGTCTTCCTTCGGAATACTGTCCCACTGGAAACTTGTTACTGCCGCCTCTAAACAACACCTGTAGAGTTTCAGAGGGCTCAAACAGCTCCTTTGGACTTGCTCTGCATCCAGAAATTGGAATGAACTTAAGACCTGTCACCAAATGGTCAAATCGTGGTTGCTCCAAGACCCACTTCATGATCTTCAGTGAACCGCCGTCACTGTAGAACCCTTTCTGTACTGCAGGAAGGACGTTTCCTTGTAGAAACTGATCAACAGATTGCTTTTGAACATCAAGTCGTAGCAGTAGGTTGTCCGACTCGTCAGATCCTAGAATAAGGCATCGACGTCTGAAAGCTCTAACCGGTAATCCAAAAAAGTCACCAGGAACTGCTTTTGGACATGTCTTCACTGAGACATATTTCTCATCACTTCCTAGAAAGAAAGGGAGAGACTTCAAGATGTCACTTTGTCGGGTCGTTAGGTGCTGGAGTTTTGCGAGGAGAGCACGTAGATCGTCTTTTATGCTTGAAGCCAGTCTTTGAACCTGTGCATCGAGGTTATTGTTGCTGCATGCCTCTAGAATGGTCATTACTCCTTCAGGTGTTGGAGCACTAACAAATCTGTTGACATGTGGGTGATCACTTACATAAGACGGGAGATCCCGTATAACAACGGCTCCGATAGACTCAAGAAACGAGCAGATGTTATCTGACAACCGTGCAGGATAACGCCCATAAGAGCCCCCCTCCCGCACTTGGCAAATTAGCCTATTCTGTTGTAGTCTGGCAATGCTATCGCGTGCAACTGGGATGAGGGGAATACCTCTGAACGCCTCAAGGTCTGTTTTCACCAACCATCTCCAAAACTCCGCAAACCACTCCCTTGTCGGTTGTTGGCCTCGTCCTGGGGTCCATGGCACGGTATCATCTGTTCCTCCTCTCCACGTGCTTGGAAGCATCTCTTTCAACAGAGGTGCAACATCATTAACGCCAAGAGGTTTTAGCTGTGTGTACGCCTCCGTTTTTGGATCGGTCAACAATGCTGATGGTAGATCGCTCGCAGCAAATCTTGACGCCCCATTTAGGATCAGAGAACTTGGATTCTCTGTGGTCGCAATGTATACTTTAGGCGCATTGTTACTAAACGCAACAAAATCGCCATTCTGCAAAGGAAGTAGAAACAGGTTGTTCAGATCACAAACTGTGTCGTTGGTCACATATGTAAGAAGCTTACACTTCTCGTTTCGTGACAGGAACTGCAATGGATCCCCTCTGATACAGATTCTCATGAGTGCAGGTGTAACCGTGTGGTAACACACACCTGCCCATCGAAGAGACTCCAGAACGTGGTTTGGAGGCTGTGTAACAGGACAACCTTTGTTTCTTAGCACTTTTGAAACCAATGCGCTTCCCTCAGGGTCAACATACAGGTCCGTTGGCTTCATCCAGTAGCCGCCATTATGTTCTGTGTAGAAGATGGGCTCGTTCGCTACCAGCTGCAAGAAGTTTTTGACTCCTGCTAACCAATTTGCCTTTATGTTCCCGATGGAAGGCCAGGCTCTATACACATCTAACGGCTGCGTTGGATCGGACGGATCATTACTCTTCTGAATAGCAGACAGGATAACCTTTGCGTATACTTCGGGAAAAACTTCCTTTGTGAGGAGCTCGTTCCAGAGTGCCTTGTTGTCATGCTGGGACTCTTGATCTGGCCACTTGATACTGCGACGGTTGTCGCCAAGACCAAAGTAGCCATGAACGTGGACTGGCAATCCGGTCTCCTCACTTTCTGGCAGTGGTAGGAAGCAAAACACACGACCACTTTGCTGCTCGTCATCTGAACCTCCCGTGGAGCTAACTCGGAAGGACATTCCCATCCATGGCAGCAACTTCAGTTCCTCATCTTTGCTCAGTTCCTGGAGATGTCTGGATGTGCTATTGTTTTTTAAGGTGTTCAAGGTGATGTATCGGCTGGTCGTTTGAGCTGTCTGTGATCCAGTTTGCTTCTGGATTCGTACACAGTTCATGGTTTGAATGTCCTGCTTCGAGAGGATCTGGCTCAGGAATGTTGTTCTGTTCAATCGAAGCTGATGGCGATCTTCTTGGTGGATCTGTACCTTACAGATAAGTTTAGGATTCACATAACAACAATCTCTTTCATAAACGGTTATTGATTCTACATGTTTGAGGAACAACAGAGAGATCTCCGCGTCTCTCTGGAATGACGCAAAAAGGTCACGCACACGCTCATCATTGGTAAAAACCGACTTACTGATCAGTGATTCGCTGGTTCGAAATGGAAATCGAAAAATAGTACCCTCTAAATGACCACTGTCAAAGTTTTTGTGATTACAGTGAAACAAGTCAATCAGGTAAGGTGAAAACTGGTTTGGAAATTTAGCCAGAAGATTGGCTGACATCTTCCACTTCTTACCACGTCTGCCTATGTATCTTGTGTTGGTGTGAGTGTCATGGATGAAGTGCTTCTCTAGTGGGTCCAAGAAACCGATTTTGCTTCCACTAATGATGCAGGGCATGTCTGTAAGGAGAAAGTATCAAAAGCCAGATAAATTCTTCTTCAATAACATTGGTATAGAAAGGCAGTGGTGACAAGGAAGTTTCATATAGGAGGGTAGACCTACACATGCATAGCTAACCTGTAAGATGGTAGACGGAAATGAACCCCAGGCCGAACCTCCCAACCTTGGAAAGATCTTCTAGCTTCCCACTCTGCTCAGGGTGCTGGATGTTGTACCAGTCTTGCTTCTGAAAGGTTGCATCATTGTAGGCATACAGAGCTGGTCCTTGGAAGTCCTTCAATGTCTCAGACCACAATTGATGGCTCGGATGTTGCGACTTGTCGTAAAGGAAAATCACATTCTTTGCTTCGGCATCATCTGCATTTTGTACAAGCTCCTGAAATTGACAGACATCTCTATTAACCAGGACAGCTTAAACATCATTTTTCCTGACATAAAGACCAAACTCGTGAATAAATAACACTTGTACAGACGAATATCCCTACCTTCAAGATCTGTCCACCTTCTGGGTATTTGTCAAGAACCCTCTTAAGGTAGATGTGTAGCGGTGGCAACTTCTGCCCAAAATCGCCGTCCTCTGCAACATGAAAAATTAGTCTGAAGTATAATTGACATAACCAACACGAAAGAGTTCAATTTGTGGAAATTTATAAAGGGAATTTATTTATTCTATTTCAGGATCCATATCTAATCATCATCATCACTCGAGTTAATTATTGGTGTGATCAAGATGCAGTTATTCCAATATCAAGGATACTAAGAAACCTCTTAAAAACAGTGGTTGAGGTTCATTGTTAGGTGTTGGGCCTAAGCCCAACACCTATTGTTTTTGCTAGAATTCACCATTATTAGGTGTTGGGCCTGAGCCCAACACCTATTGTTATTGTAAGAGTTTACTATTATTATTTTTTTTTATTCTTCAAGACACAATTCTTCTCCAGAACTGTTTGTCAACATGAACACATATATGAACTTCATTTGTCAATACATGAATGCACAATCTACTGAAGATGTGTTTTTTTGTAATTACGTCATTGTGACGATATCACGGGTCACGTGACATCACTTTAAAATTTAATAAATTTAATCTTTGAAATTCCATATAAAATCAACCGTGACAGACCGGAACTTGAATTTTGCGGGAATCGACATGTTTAATAATACATGCTTTTCATTTTATCTCGTGCGCGTAAAATCACGTGATCCTTCCTTTCGGTCGAAACCGGAAGTGCCTAATAATTTTAAAGTGGAAAAAGATATGAACTTGCTTTTAACGATTTAAGTGTCTGCCTGGATTCACCTTCAAAAAAAATAATTGGTGACGTCATGAAGAGGGGAGCGCCCTCTAGCGGCAGGTTAAAAAACGCGAAAAACGCATTTTCACTTGAGGTCTGTGGCGAAGTTTGCGGTAATCGCTTCAAAATTAATGTACATAATGACCATAATGCAGACAACACCTGTGCGCGAAAAAAAAATTGATTACGTCATCAGACCGGAAGTTACAATAAAAAGACCTTTAAACCTTCAAAAATTGCTAAATAAAAAACCGTGATAGATATAATCAAGATTTGGCTAACTACAGCACAGTTAAAATAGCTCTTGAACTTTCTGGTAATGACGTCACAATGACGTCATCAAGTATCATATTACAAGCAATCAAAGATTTCTAGATTTAATCTTTGAAAATCAATATAAAATCAACTGCTACAGATTTGATTTTGATTTTTATAGCAATCGATACAATATTGCACGGTCTTCATTTCTGGTATTAAGTGCAAAATCACTTGACCCTTCCTTCCGGTCGAAACCGGAAGTGCCTTATTATTTGAAATTGGCAGAAGATGCGAACTTGCTTTCAAAGATGTGAGTGTCTATCTAGGCAGTGCTGTACAAACATTTTACAGGTGACGTCATCGAATGTTAGAGCGCCCTCTGGCGGCATGTTGATAAATTAAAACATAGATTTAAACATGCATATTTTGAGTTGATGTGTGTTGCAAAGTCTGCGGTTATCCATGGCCCAACGCCGTGTGGTTGTTCATACAACCTCTAGTTCATGTTGCTGTTATATGAGAATATATATTATTTATGATGGAGTCTTTAATAAAAACAGGTCATTGAACAAAACCTTTCACCAATAGCACTTACCATCACTGGAATCTGACATTGTGTTTCAATTCTGCACTAGATGATCTCGTAGCAAACGTGCATACTTTAGTAGGATTTATTCCCTCTTTCTCCACGTCAAGTCTGTAAAAGTGACGTTTGTTACGAAAAGATTAATTAATAACACAAACTATAAGGGTGATTCCATAAATGTGGGGGCCAATGGATTTTTGTGTCCCTCTTTACACTGTGATATTTGTTTCCATAGTGTTACCAACAGTGAAATATATACAAACGATTTTAGTTGCCCAAAATATCTGGTATGAAACATCTAACTAATTTCCTGACAATGTGGGTCTCCTAATTACAGTTCATGGTTTGAAGTGTAAGGGACACAAAAGTTATGACATTTTAAAAACTGATTTGGAAATGTTCTTATCGTTCTTATTTGTTATCAAATACTACCACGTGCACATATGTGTATGAAAAAGTGCCCTTCATTATGTTAAAGCAACTAAATAGTGCTATAGAATGGCACTATGATTTCAATGATAACTACATGTAGTTCAGAGCGAGGTTCACAAGTGCTGAGCCCAAATGTTTGACCGTGTAAACAAGACCCAAACACCGTGTAAACAATGTTTCTGAGAAATAAAAAGATTATTGTGTTCACTGGCAAATCCAGATGTACATAGGGATACCAAATGGTTTCCTGCTACGCAATCATGCACTGGGTTATTATTTTTTAGTCTAAGCAAGTTATTTTCACAATTAACATTGATGTGTTATCCTGGGTTAGACAAAAATACATTTTAAAATAAACACTCCACATTGAGTTTGACGTTTTAACACAACAAATAGCAGAAAATGAATTTGGTGTCCCCTTTACACATGAAAACGTGAATGGGTTTGACAGGGTATTTTTTTTTCTGGAATGAATAATGTCTTATTTTGGCTGCAATTAATGAGGAATGCCAATAAGTTAGACTGAAAAATATAAATGAATCCCTCTCTATCAATTTTTCCATTTTGGGTCAAACAGTGACAAGTTTAAACCCAAATTTATCGAATAACTCATAAGTGTGTTCAAATTCATGGATAACAGGCTATTGGAACACAATATTTGTGGTTGCCATCATCTTGTGAGGACAGAGTTTTTTTCTGAAATTTCCTATTTGGTTGATATATCCAGAAAGTACGACATTTAATCAACGGCACGGGTTGCAAGTGTTACCTATTCTGTTTAAATCTAACACATTCTTATGACATTATTACATGACTTTGCTGTCTCTCATAATTCTTTCTCCCTTTGATCATATTAACATTTCATTGCAATCCGTCAACCGAAAAGCCAGGATGAAACGTTTAATACGTATCATCAAATAAACAACAAAGCTGAACAATGGGGGAAAAAACCATTATGAACACGGATAAAGTACGCAAACTTTCATAATTTCCTACTGGATTTTTTTTAAATTTAAACACATATACATTTTGTTTTTGCTATACGGCATATGATTTTCTTAGCGTGCTTTCTGCAGTCGATGTCTCAGCATGACATCACTAACAAACTCACCCTGGATACAGTCTTGCAATTTAATTCGCAAATGAAATACTGGATAAGGATTAAACGACTTTAAAAAACAAATGAAACACCAATTTCATGCTCAGCGTCTGTCCCTTAATACGCAAAAATGGCTGGTATCATGATTAATAATACCAGGAAACATATATATATATTCATACTACATGTATATGCATATTATAAAGCCAGCCGAACCTGGTATACAAATAATGAATGTGTTATGGAAGGAGTAGTTTCATGAGATGAAATATTGACTGTTCCATTCAACGAGGCGTTGTTTGTTATATAGATCCTTGCCTCGGGTGCTATGCGCCCCTCGAGTGTTAAATAGGTCATATCCCACAGGTGCACAGCATCAACGGTTGGTAAATGAAATGGGACAAATGATTCAATGTCGTATGACTAAATTCCGCCAATCAAATGACGAGGTTAGGTGTTATATAAAAGCCAATAATGTAAAGTCAAAACATTGTCTGCTCTTGGTTTTTTCCCTCGGCACGCAATACCACTCAAAGTCAGTAGCAATCACGCCCTGTGTTCGTGCACCACACGATCGGCTTGGTACTCTAACTGCGCATGTGCACATTAATATTTTAACGATGGATAACAGCGCAAGACATGGGGACATGCAATAATAACGGAATATGAAATCTGCCTATATTTTTCCTGCAGTCAAAAAGACAAAGATTATACACAATATGTATCGGACATAATAAGTTGAACTATCAAAAATACTGTAAAAAGAGTTGCACACAATGTACTCACAATAAGCTGTTAAAATATGGATCAGGATTGCATTAAAGTCGTTTGAGAAAAAATAACAGAATAAAGTGATATCATCAACAAGACTTTTTTGAATGATATCAGATTCGAAAGTGACTAAGCATGAATAAATTTGGGATCAAGATTATGGTGGGATTTACGTCAACATTCGAGTGTTTTCCCTTTTGCATATAGTTAAAGCATTTTCATCTCATGAGACTCGGAGTGGATTCTGTTTTTCTTTAAGGATTATACATGCGGGAATCTAGTACCTTCCTAAACTTGCCAAGTGCCTGACCAGTCAATTCTCGGCTCAGACGGCTCATGTCGAAAACACCAGAAAAAGTAATTCGTTATGCTTCCGCATCGGGAGGGCCGACCAAGCACACAAATTCATGTCCGGATCTCCGTTATTAACGTGATGTGGTTGAGGATATCCAGCGAATAGGGAAGTTCATTCCCGAATAATTCAACTTGTGATGAATGTTAAAAAAAACCCACAGAACATGCATATTCAACAAGTTATAATTAACAACTCACCATTAAAAAAAAATACTGTAAGGTACAAACTGTTTTTTATTAAACAAAAGGCGAAATAATGACGGTGTTTCGATGTAAGTAGAGCTTGAGCTTGAAAAGTAGAAACAGCCAATGACAATTACAGGAAACAAGGAAATAAAATCGAGGACCACTAAAGAAAATCAATACATAATGTATCAGACGATGGAGGGGAGTGACATTTCTTTCTGCTTTCAAGACATTGTAATACTCCCAAGAAGATGGTGCAAAATAATGAAGCTAACAATTGCACACTTAGCTCCACCCTACCACCTAGACCCTACGCAAGGACTAGCTTGAGTAATTCCTGATGAGCTTGTTAAGCTGGAGTTATTCAAGCTACAAGGACACCAGATGTGCATGTCAAGCTGCGTGTTTGCAAAGTATTGATGATGGAAATTGGAAGCATATATGACTTACCGATCATGCCAACATGCATAATTGTGAGTGCGTCGAAGACATATTAATGGAAGCTATATACATGTAGTACCACCGAACACGCTTCTTGGCTCAATCTCACACACGGGCCTGTGCAGTTTTCCAATCTGATGAATTTGGAAACGCAGCAGTGTGTCCACTGTTCCTAAACACAAATGATGGCGTGTTAAATTTTACACAAAGAGTATGACTCGCCTGTATGAGCTCCGTACGCTACCAAAAGAGGGCGCCCTTTTACCTAGCAACGACGTCCCATGGGCGGTACATTTCGCTAGTACGACGCGCACCGCTCCTTGTGTGTGACGCGCGTACACCAGGGGATTTGTTCTATGTACACGCAGTGGCCGCGCACCCCCAACTGTACTTCCTTTGCCGGTGAGGGGGCTCTTGTGAACGGAGCGGATACGCACACTCCACTTGTAACATTGGGCTAGCTAGCTATTGCCATTAATAATTACATTAATTTAATTGAGCTCTATGGCTATTGCTCAATCAGGTATAAATCGGGTTGAAAGATAGTAAGTAAAGTGGACTAAACCCCCTGTGAAATTAATCTTTCTGGCAAGCTACCATTTTGAAGTAATCAACGAAAGAAGGCCTTTCGCACCGTAGGAAAATTTAAATGAGTAGTTCGTTTTGTTATTCGGCGCAGCGCGCGCGCGCGGTTGCTATAATTCGTCGGATCAGTGCGCGACATTGCGTATAGCTGCAATTCAAAACAATTCAAAACATGATTCAGCAACTTTTGATTGGAATTGAGATCCTAGAATGCTGTTTTTCTCGGAATATACAGCTGAAGCTGAGCTGAAACTTCATCAGGTTAGTTGTTCAGTATCCTTCATTAGATTTTGAACACTTTTGTGTGAATAGTCAGAATCTTTTGGTCTGGGAACCGGACTACCACTGGGCCTGCGGCGTGCGTCCTGCACGCGTGATTGACAGGTGAACGATCTGCGCGAGGGCATTGTTCAGTTGGACCATGGAGATAGCTCCATGGTTGGACCAAGTTGCCAAGAAGGCTCCAGAAAATGTCGTAACTTACGCAGCAGCTGGGCAACTGACACTGGCAGCAGGTTCTAATTTTGTTATTAAGAGGGTAAGTGTATTTTTAAAGCATAAATGAACTGGGTGTGAAGTCGCAATGTGGAAATCACTTTCATTTGTTTCAAAATTTCGCCGAGTCAGTTTCCAAGATGGTGGCTGTGTGGCCTATGTTTACGGAGGCAGTCCAGTAAACTGGCCACATTTATGGGGCTAGGCTAGATCATGAATTTGTATGAGGTATAATCTTCTGGCATGGTGTTATGCATATGCAAAAACCATGCAAATGACCGTGGATGCGATCTTGCTTGTATTATAAGATTTAAAGAATACCTGGGAAAGAATCAAGTGTGCATGTAAGCAGAGAGTATGTTAGCAGATAAAGGCACATGACCTTTAATAACTGTAGTGAGACGTCTTTTACGAGGCACCGTACAATTGGCACAAGGCCCAGAAAAATGTATACAAACGCGCACTAAGTGCCGTGAACGCGCGAATATCAGCCCTTTTCTGCCTGCACACCGAAGTGTGAGTATCGTGTGCATTTGTGCTTGAAAACCAACATTTTTGTTTCAAATGAGCAAAATTTGTATTTTCTTTACATTCTCATGTCACAATGCATGTTCTCTGCTACCGCTGGGATAGGTGTTAGTTTATTTCATGTTGACAAAAGGATT